AATTTTACGTTTCCTTATGGCAGCAAGCACGTAAGTGAACCGCCCGGTTAAAAAATAAAGCTGTTTAGTTTAGGCGGTGCCAATGTTTCCAACCTACACAGCACTCTTGACCGCACAGTTTACTTGCCCCCTTGCGCCCACAGTGTGCTTGCGCCTTTGCTTTACATCACGCTCGCAAGACGATAATCGGTCTTTTCGGTCTTCTCCTAGATGGCACTGCCCGTGCGGTCGCGCGGTCGCGCCATCACGTCGCTCCCCCGCTGAAGTTGGCTCCCGCGCTACCCGCGGTACAGTGGACTATGATGATCAGTGAATGTCAGTGGTGATGCTGTTATGCCGTGTTAACTTTTTGCTCGGCATTTTCTGGCCAGCCTCGCGGAATCCGCTTTGCCGCATGCCTCGCCGGCGCTACCGGCGCCGCATCCTCGGGCAGCCTAGGAACGTTGGAAGGCCTGTCCCCGTGAAGTAACCTATCAAGCGCTCGCGTTTGCGCATAATTTTTTTTTTAACCACAATTTTTTTGCGAAGTTGTTTTTTAGAGTTGATTTATTTATTTCCTTCTATGGCAATGGCGCTTCGTTATATTGAAATAGCAGCAAAATAGACTTCGTTATATAGGGACTAAAAATACATGGGGTCTATGGGCAAGAAATTATGAAAAATAAAATACTTCGTTAAATCGAGGATTTCGTTACATTGAAGTTCGTTATATCGAGGTTCGACTGTACTTACAAAAATATCTGTAATAAAGTGGGAATGCTTGAGCCACCAAGCTTGCTACACTGTTATTCATGATGGTTGCATGTCTGCCTGACCAAGGTAAACCTGCAACTTCACTGGTACCTTAGACAAGATGTCCATTAAGATTAAAAACATTTGGGATTATTTATTCTCGCAAAGTAGAAAACATGAAATTAGAAAAGTAAAAACAAAATTGACCGCATCTCCACGTGGTGAATGATGTTTATTGGGGCGAAGCTCTGGTGGTGCAGACGCTTAGCCGCAGCAGGCCGAGCCTTTTGTTCGTTTTCATCCATGTCAGAAAGAGAATGTGTGGTATGGAACGTGGTTATATACGCATTTGAACGCAGCGCCCTCTCGTCTATAAACGTTGAGCCAATGCATGCAAAGTTTAACACAATTATATACGGATTTGACTGCAGCGCCCTCTCCTGTAAAGACGTTGAGCGGCTACATGCAACATTTCATCCATGACATCCCCAGCTCTTTGGTTACTACCACATCTCGGAGCCCCCTACTCGTCCCGCAGTCGTGGCCGAGTGGTTAAGGCGATGGACTAGAAATCCATTGGGGTCTCCCCACACAGGTTTGAATCCTGTCGACTGCGCAAACATTTTTTTTCATCATTTTTTTTTTTTTTTTTCCTTACACGAGCACGAGGTCCAGCAAGATCGATGTGAGCACGGACGCCGAACAGACAAGGCTAAGGAGCTTCGCCACTAAAAATAAAAATTGATCGCGTCTCCACGGGGTGAATGACGTTGATTGGGGCGAAGCTCTGGTGATGCTTGTCTGCGTAGATGCTGAGCCGCAGCATGCCGAGCCTTTCGTCCGTTTTCATCCATGTCAGAAAAAGAATGTGTGGTATGGAATGTGGTTATATACGCATTTGAGCATTTGACCGCAGCGCCCTCTCGTCTATAAACGTGGAGTCAATGCATGCAAAGTTTAACGCGATTATATACGCATTTGACCGCAGCACCCTCTCCTGTATAACATTTTTTTTGTTGCTTTACACGAGCATGTGAGCATGAGCACGAGCACCAGCAAGATCGATGTGAGCACGGACGCCGGACGGACAAGGCTAGACCCTAAGGAGCTTTGCCCCTAAAAAAAAAAAGATACTGAGTGCACTAGCTGCCTGCGCTGGCGTCTTGAGAAGTCCGTCTTTTGTCCCTCTTCAAACCAGACCGACGAATTTTGCGGAGCACTCACTTGTGCTGCAATAATTCTAACGAGTGCGAAAAAATCGGTCAACTCCAAATGTGGTTACAAAGGGAGAATGCGGAACTGGAGGATTCTGCCCGATCCTCTTCGGAGAATCGACATCCAGGTCTTACACACAGTGAAAATTTCTCTGCTTAGCTACCTTCTTTTACTGCGGCGCTGTTAAGGGTTGGTTTCCCCAGTTTCGTGTTCGGTACCAAACAAATGTCGACACAAAACTACACAAAACTCTGGACAGCTACCGCCATCTATCAGCGACGGCAGCAACCTTTCCAGCCTTTCCATCAAGGTGTGCAATGGTCCAGGGGTGTCCATCGTGTACGTCCCCCCTCGAAGCTCAAGAGAGACATTGAAGCATTCATGATGGACGTCTTCGGCTGGGTCATGCTCGGCAACGACACGTCTGCCGTAGTGACGGGTGACTTTAACGTTGACAGTGCATGCCAGCAGAGGAAAGTGGTTCACTTCGTTTATGCTCGAGCACTTCAAGCTCGCGTGTGTAAACGAACCTATGGCGCTTACGACCAGGCATCGGACGTGCATAGACCTCGCCTTCACGAAGAACGTGCCTGCCGTCAGCGTACACCCTGGGGTGGTCTACCACAGCGATCACGAGGCAATGGTCACTGTGGTTACGAAATAAATAACAACCCTGGATCGTTATATTATGTGAGATTCTTTAAACGTTCAAATAACCAATTGCCCAATCACACCTTAATCCTTACATTTATAAATATGCAGTTGTTACCAGTGTGGTTCTGCCAAAGTGCTCGCCGTTCACTGCTACCCACTGCTCGCCGCTCGTCGGAGCTATCCACGTGCATCTACCAGTGATGATGTTCCATTTTCCATATTCAGTTGTTTCGAAGCAGTTACGGCTTATACTGCACGCCTTTCTGTGGCGCCTGCGCTTACGAGCGGCATTGGGTACTACAAAGTGTGGCACATCGCACTAAGCAGAGGAACATTGAGGCATCAATCCATTAGCAATGCGCTCCTTCTGTCGCCTATTTCAACGTATGAATTTGAATAAATCAATTAATAGGCTGTGATTTCGCTTGTATCGTGTCTCATTTCGAGTCTTTTTCGAAATGACATCCGAGTCTTTTTCGTGCCTGCAGACTGTCGCGCACGCTCCAGTCTGCCACGATATGAAACCGCATTGCACTTGCATTTCACCCCTTTCAATACAAACATGCCATGAAATCGAACACTGTTGTCCCGCCATCGCCTGGCCAGGAAATACCAAACGCTGAGAGTACTGCGACTTGCACAAAGGTACTTAACTTATGGACAGGAGCGCGGTGAAACCTCCTATCAGAAAGTTTAGAACGTGAATGATTCTACTATGATTCCTTTTGTAACAATTATGTGACCACCGAGGGACTGCTAACAACCTTCGCACTTGTTCGAAACTCCGGACTGTCTGGACGGACAGCGTACGAGCCACAACCGTCTCCTCGAACGGGGCCGCCCACAGGGCCTGCAGCAGTCGGCAGAGCGCCACTCGGAAAGCTCTAGATGGCTCAATCCAGCCAGCCAACCAATTAGCCACAGCCTCTCTAGACGGCTCGATTCAGCCAGCCAGCCAGACAGCCAGCCAACCAACCAGCCAGATACAGTCAAACCCACTTATAACGAACGTGATAGTTCCGCGAAAAGTGGTCGTTTTATCAGTAGTTCGTTATATCTGGACTTCCCTTTAAAACGTTATAAATAAGGAAAATGAAGCTGGTATAGGTAGTTTCACTCTGCCAGCTCTTTACTTAAAGAAACTGTTTGCACGATATTAACGGGCCCCCAATTCTAACGCGATTGCAGATTTAGCTTTCAGATAAATAAAAAGTAAATTGCTGCCGATTCTACTGCACAAGGAAAATAATGGACATTGACCACATACCTCATAGAACAGATTTAATGAAACGCACCACACCGCAAAAATAAATGCCGAGCACTAGCCCGACGATGGTTCTTCGCTGTCTACAGAGATAATTAATACTTGCTTTGGTCTAAAACGTTTTAAGTGCCGTGCTTCTTGCGCATGTACGAGTGCGCGGCCGTGGCCTCTGGCAGGGTCGTCTTTCAAACAACACTTTGCGAGCTCGTCGGGTGGCAGGGATTGCGAGCCACGCAGTGCTGCTCCGTTGTCATCTTTTTCCGCCAGCGTGATGCCCTTTCGTTTAAACAAAGCCTCTTGGTGGATTTTTTTTTTTTTTTTTCCATCTTAAAACGACAGACACGAGTCTGTAGATGCGAGAGAATGTGCATGATACCAAAATGGCGAACGTAAACAAACTGTAACAATGGCGATGGGGCTAACCAACTTGTACCGAGCATTGAGCTCTTCTTGAGCTGCATACAGTTCGCATAGAACGAACGCGAACAAACGAACACAGCACGGCAGGAGAGTTGACCCTCGTCCTCTTCTCCTTCCCGCACGCGCACAATGAGCAGACTACGCAACCCGAGAGGACGTTTTCGTTTTTGTAGTTTTGTTTTCTCCCCTGCCACGATGCTGTGAAAATGACCTTGAGCGTCTCGCGGACCGCCGCGCCTAACATCTCTTTTAATCTTCGTTTTTTTTTTTTTTTTTCTTTTTCTCTCTCTCTTTCTTTTTTTTGTTCTTCTTTCCTTGTTGCTTTTTTTTTTTTTTTTAAAGCAGACTTTATGTTTGTTGTAACAGTATGATGCTTTAAAAAACGGTCGTTTTATCTAGACCAATTTTAATGGGTAGGGCCTTGAACTCTCATATTTTCTTAAAGTTGGTCGTTATAACCGATAGGTCGTTATATGTGGGATCGTTATAAGTGGGTTTGACTGTATAGCCTCTCTAGATAGCTCGATCCAGCCAGCCAGCCGGTCAATTAGCCAGCCATAGCCTCGTGACCAAACGCTTCCATATTTTCAGTTGCACCCTCTCTAACCATACAGGACTCTAGCTGTTGTCTACAGAAAACCCTACGAGTCGGTCAAATGGCAGACGACCCGAGTAGTCGGTCGACCCGGGAGTCGACCCGGAAGATGGGGCTCACCGTTGCGGGCGCCGACGTCGACCAGCGCGTCGAGGCTGAAGCTGGGGCCGAAGAAGGTGGTCCCTTCCAGCTTGGAGCCCGTCTTGGGGGTCCGGGGGGTGCCCACGGGGGAACTCTTGGGCATGCGCCCACCCGGGGAAGACGCCTCGCACTCCTCCACCTCCGGCCCTGGGGACAACAGGAAGCATGCTCTTTCAGGAATGAGAAACTGAATGAAGAACGGGAACAAGGGCAGGCAGAACGAGGACACAGACACTGCCTTGTCCTCCTTCCGCTTGTCCTCCAATCGACCAATCATTTCTTTTGGTTTTCCGAGACAAGAGAAGACTCTTTTTCGAAAGGTCCAGGGGTGTTCTAGCATTATTTTTGTTGCTTCGATTTTTTATGGCGTCTACCGACTTGTGCAACTATGAGCGTTGCTACTGGTGGGAAAGAGCCGACATGACGGCTCTGACCCAATTTCACTTGGAACGTAAAATCACCCGTTATGGCATACCAAAGTCGTGGCCCCAAACTGCAAACATCAAATGCTCGGGGTATTGCCTCCCCTCCATCTCCTCAGCCGATGCCCTAAACAACAAATAAAAACTAAAAAAAAAAAAAAAAGTGGGCACATGTAGAGCTAAATATCCGCGAAAGTAAACGTTGAGAGCATTGCTCACAAACTGTCAACTGTGAAATTGCTCAAAACGTGAAATCTAGGCTCGAAGGTGCATTCGCAATTTAAGTCGGATGTTTTTACGAATGACTGCATAGTTCACGGACCGACATAAGCATTCATTCATTTTAATGCAGAATGTGTTTTATCAGCCGAATTCCATGGAGATCCGTAATGTTTGGCTGTAACCAAAACCGACACTGAAAAGCATTACAGTGTAGACCGCATATAACGTATGTCGCGGGTGTCAAGAAAATCCGCATTATAAGCGGTACCGCGCTATAACCAAAACATCAATTTTTCAGGTCAAAATACATGCCATCAGACAAGTTACCTTTGTAAAAGAATTTATTTTATGTTAGATGAAAAATAAAGCTTAGTTTGAGGGAAGTCTTTATTTCACCAGACTAGTAAACTTCTCTCTCAAGTGTGTCACACATTTTGATAGAAATGAGCGACTTTTGCCTGGAGCAGCCTTTTAACGGCGTCGCGGGTTGCAAACGGACGTTGCAAGCATTCAGGATTGCTAACCCTAATCACTTTTCTACAGCGATGAAAGCACGTGAAATCCGCATCCTTTATACGGTAAACTTCTTAGTGAGCGCGTTGGTAATGATGTAGGTTTAGAAAGAGTTATATACGTAAAAACAGGGGACGGAACAACACATCTTTCAACTTTCAACAAACAAATGAATTTATTGCCGGACACTTCGCCTTCGGAGCTCCACTATAGGAGAGGGAAAGTTAAAAGGAGGGGGAAGGGGAAGGAGGGCGGGGGGGGGGGGGGGGAGGGGGCAAGACAAGGACCCGGGAGAAAACTGGGGGAAAGTAAAGCGCAGAGACAGCGAAAGGAGAGGAAGGAGAAGCAGGCATCGCAAAAAGTCTCATCTCCTCCACCCGCACAAAGTCCTGACAACACCTCTCCTCATCTAGCCTGGAGGGACAGCTCAGCCGCCTCACAAACGCCGGATACCTGCGCGACCTGCTGGCCTCCATGCTCAGAAAACTAATAGTTGAAAAAGCCGCCGCTCGGAAGCCTGCCCGGCAGAGGTATACAACCATCCCCTATTTCCACAACACCGCCCACCGACTAAAAGCAGTGGCTCGATGTTTCGACATGGACGTTGCTTTTTCGTGCCCCTTCAAGTTGAGCGCCATGTGCCGCCTGGTAAACTCTCCCCCTCCTCCCAAGATCAGCTGCGCCAAGAGGCATGCGGCCCCCTTTGTTCCCTGCGCGGTCGGACGGGTGTATTCAGTGCCCTTCTCGTGCGGGGCAGAGTACATCGGACAGACGGGCCGCTGCCTCAACGACGCCTGCGCGAACATGAGAGAGAAATAGAAAAAAACGACGAGGACTCCCAACACCCCATGGTCCATCACCTCAAGGTTTGCGCTCCATGCGCCCCCGAGTTCCCGTCCGCGCGTGTTCTGGGGGCCAACAAGAACCGCTACGGGCGCGAGATCGTGGAGGCGTTCGTCATAAAAGAGGCGCCGAAGAACATTTCCTCGGCCTCGTTGTCGCTGTCCGAGAGAGAGGTTACATTCCTGAGACCGGAGTTGACGGCCTTGGCGGGCCGGGCGAGCGCCCCTTGCTCCTGAGAGGGAAATCGGGATGCTTCCTTCCTTCCTCTTTTTTCGCTGTCTCTGCGCTTTACTTTCCCCCAGTTTTCTCCCGGGTCCTTGTCTTGCCCCCCCCCCCCCCCCCCCCCCCGCCCTCCTTCCCCTTCCCCCTCCTTTTAACTTTCCCTCTCCTATAGTGGAGCTCCGAAGGCGAAGCGTCCGGCAATAAATTCATTTGTTTGTTGAAAGTTGAAAGATGTGTTGTCCCGTCCCCTGTTTTTACGTATATAACTCTTTCTAAACCTACATACTTTATACGGTACGCGCCAGTAATACCTTCAACTTGAGCACAGGCATGAAATGCTCCAAATAAGAAATCCGGGTGATGTTTCAAAACACAAATGCTTAGAAAGCACCACTGTAGTCAAAGTAAACAAACACATCGACACGGGCATTTCTGCCGCCTTGAGAGTGCCGCCACAACATCGCCGCACGAGTAGGTGGATCTTCCCTTCTAGTACAAGCTGGGTTATCATAGCGACATACGGCGAAAATTCACAGTCAAGGATAGCGCTTTTACGCGGAACAATGAGCTTCCACTACGCCGTCTACGTCGACGATCACAATCGACGCCATGTTTGCAGATAGAAGCACCCGGCCCGCGAACACTGCTCTTCGACGTGCGATTGGTCTGTCGTTGCGGTTGTTTCCAGCGCAGCGAAGGGACGCACGCACGTGAACGACACATGCGTGCGTCCCTCCGTCGCTATAGCGACTGAAGCCTCTCTCTTCTCTTCTCCCCGATTCTTCAAGCAACCTCCTTGCCCCGCGAGTGCCGCTTGCGGCTTGCGCCTTTATCTAGTCAATCTAGTGTCGTACAGGGAAGCGTGCTCGCTGCGCCGGTCAGTCGGCGCGCTCCTCCAGAAACCGCACTATAACTGGTATTTCCCTTCGCGCACCTGCATTTTAAGAGGTATGTAATTACATGGAGTTGTTCTATGAGAGGCGAACCGGTGGTTTGCAAAAGCCGCGTTATACCCGGTCCTGCACTATAAGCGGTTACGTTGTAAGTGGTCTATACTGTACTACCATAGGGAACCATATAAAAGGATTGAGATTGTGAGCCAAGTACTTTGCCGAACGAGCTACCCGGGGTCGGGGGACGAAGCAGCCAAATGCGAAGTCATTAGTGCAGCACGTGAACGCACGGTAGCACCTTATGCGGTTTTTCCTGTCATGCTGTGTCATCTCGCAGCGTACGCCAGAAATGAGAGCAAACCTTCGTTAGGCACTGTCATTCAGATGCCCTTTTTCGTCTTCCCTGGAAGGCCTATCACACATTCTGCGCTTACGAGTCTTTGTCAGCATGATCAAGCTTGCATAATTTTTATAAACCAGTACGGCCTCAATTATATCTTTGCCTGGGTTGGTAACTGATATGTTTATGCAATTGCATATTGCACAGCATTGTTAGTGCCATGGCATTTGCATAACCTTTTTCATATTTGACTTTGAAAAAGTGTTTGCAGGTACCAAATTTAACCCCTTAAGTGCCTCAAATGAGCTGCTCCCACCGCACCAGTAGTCTTGTTGAGGGCGACAAGAAACCAAAAAGGAGGAAACTCTCTTTCAATTCCTCCTTTCCATTCGAGAATGAGGGAGGCTCTCCTCCTTCCTGCAGGGAGTAGCTCGAAGACCCACTCTTAGGAACATGAGGGGAGAAGCGGGCAAGTGGGAATTGAGAGAAGGAAACTGGGAACCAGTTTTCTTCTCGGCAGAAGACGATTTTGTAGGTCGGCCTTTAACAACCCTTCAATTCTAAGGGAAAAGCAACAAATGGTGATCACTTGACCGTGCTAACAATGTCTCACTTTGCCCTTCCTATTCCACCCCTGCATAGTCACTGGCAAGATAAGAACAGCAGTGCCCCTCTTTCAGAGGACTCGCCTCCGGCATGCGCTCGTTGCTTTCCATGAAACTTTGGGTGCGCGTGGTCACTCGAGGCTCGCGAGACATCCGAGCGTTATCGAGGGTAGCAAGCTCGCGCCGGAGGCAGGCCAACTGGTGCGCCTCCCTGCCATTCTAATCCTGCCACTGACTACAGCAGCCTTAGACTGGCCAACAGTATTGACAAGTAAAACTAGGTGAAAAGAAATCGTAGGAACGGGTGGATGACTTTCTCGAAAAAAAAAATGGATCCAGCTACACACTGGATTAATGCCGTCACACCATGTGCGTTAACAAACAAAGTCACGCATGCTCAATTTTGAAATGCGGCGACAATCGCTCCAAATATGCAATGATGCAAAGGCGGGACTCGTTCGGCAGACGGCCGACGGGCGAAAGGCATTCACCTGTCGCCTTGGGCCGCTTTCGGTATGTCTGTACAAATGGAGAGGAAGGCAACGAAGTGGCCCCGGACGGAGATTCTTCTGGCTTGAACTCTGGGAGCTTGGCGAACTGAGCGTTGAAGTTGACCTCTTCCAACACCCTGCATTTGTTAATGAGGTGCAAAAACGTCAAGTCCCCTTTGTTGCAGCGGGCCCAACGTTCTACAAAATCAACTTCGGCCCAGTTCTCGGCGCAATGCGACATTAGATATTGGAAGCAGCACAGGAATGAAGACAGTAAAATGTTGAGAAGAAACCTTTCAGCCTTTCCACTCTGGTGAAGAAGGAAGACCAGCGAAGCTGCACTATGGTGGCAATGAAGTAATGGCCGGCTGCAAGTCGGCAAGGCAGAGTGGAAAGGCTGGAAAGGTTGCCGCCATCTATGAGCGACGGCAGTATCCAGACAACCAGCAAGCCGGTTGTCTCGTTGCCGCAGTTGTTCATAGATGGCGGTAGCTGTCCAGAGTGTTCTGTCGACATTTATTTGCTGGTGAACATGGTCTTGGGGAAACTAGCCCTTAACAGCTGCGCTGAAATTAAGTGCGGCAAAAAGCGAGGCCACTGTATATTTTCTGCAACCGAAGGAACTCCTTCCCCTTCACCTTTTCATTCAGAGTTCCGATAAACAGTCAACAAGTTAAGTGACACAACAAAATATGGCACTTCGACCATCAGCGAGGCCTTAAAAAAATGGTGAACCGAGATTTGAATTTCAAAAAAACAATGCAAGAGATGTTGGCGGGATGCTACAATCCCTACAACACTACTCGTAAGGCGATATCTCCAATGGACGGCCGTATTTTGGGAACAAAAAGGTCGAGATTGAACTAGGCCGACGAGGTGAAGATATCTTGTTTTCTCCTCTCCTCACTTCGTCCCCTCATGTTAGCGAGGCGGAGAAGACGCGAGGTTGTTCCCTCTCCTTCTCGAAGAAACACGACATAAACATTTCTGTCAAATGCTTTTTTTGAAAAATACGGTCACCCGTTCGCGATATCGCTGTATGAGGGATGTTTTGGTGTTTGTAGCATCCCGTTGCACGCTTTTGCCACGTGTTTTGTGGAATCCAGCTTTCGGTTCAGCATCCCTTTAAATTTGTGTTGTACATCAAAAAAGTCTGAAACTGCGAGTGCTCGAAGAGAACAAACCCCTGGTTTCCTAGAAGTCTAGTTTGAAGACTTATGAAGGAGTTCCGAATGCCTCTTTCAAAACACAGCATTTGCTCGTATAGTTTGTGCACCTCATTTTTTTTTTTTTAAATTTAATTTCGGGGGAAAGGGAGTGTGCGAATTAGAGCTCTACACGGGCCTGGGCCAACCCGAAATCCCGGGGAATGTGCATCTTTTTCGGGCACCGAGCCTTAACGTGCTCGGTGCCTTAACTGCCTTAACTCGCACTGTCGAGGAACCTCCTGCCGGGCCATGCTCAGGCCGGGCTGGGTCGGGTAGGCGTCTCGTTGGGTTGGACCCGGGTCGAGCGAGACTGCTGAATGGGCCTGAGCCGGGTCGGGCCTCAGACGACAGGCCCGAGCAGGGCTCTATCTAGCGAAAATTACCTAAGGATTCCTAAGAGGAAAAAAACTTTTTTTCTATATTTCGCACACTTCACACTTTCTGCGTCAGCTGCCAGCCAGGTACCACTGGGCGCGCGAGGTAAGCTTGGGAAGGCTGGTGCGGCCATAAGACGAGCGAGGAGAAAACAACTGCCAAGGTACACACAGACAGAATGGACAAGATGGGACATAATCATCTCAACATAATCCTGTCGGGCTCCAAGTTTAATGGGACTCAAAAAGTTTGAGCACTTTCAAGAGTGGAAATGCAATTCACAAACCATTGCACGCTTCCCCTCGCATTTGGCGAGTTTCAACCCAGGTAACCACTCAAGCGCTGGACTTCAAAACGAACGAATGTCACCAGCACCCACTCAGCAAAAAGAAAAACCATAAGCGAGAATAGACCCTTTCCAAACTGCGTGTCGTCTAGAGGCTGCCGTGCCGTTCATCCGAGTCCGTCATTGTTTGGTTGCGTTTGACACAAGGGCTCTGTTGGCGCTAAGCACGAACCCGGCTCGAACGAATGTTACCAGCACCCACTCAGCAAAAAGAAAAACCATAAGCGAGAATAGACCCTTTCCAAACTGCGTGTCGTCTAGAGGCTGCCGTGCCGTTCATCCGAGTCCGTCATTGTTTGGTTGCGCTCGACACAAGGGCTCTGTTGGCGCTAAGCACGAACCCGGCTCGGCTCGCATAAAAAACAAACGCTGCATCAATGTTTGGCGAGGTCTCGGGTACGGTTGCATGATTCATGCCCGAGAAGCAGCGACGCCAATGTCGCCCGACAGACTCTCGGAAGTCCGAGGCCCTCACCTGTCCATCCCGTCGTCCACGGTACGCTTGAGGATGGACTTCCTGACCTCCCTGGCACTGGGGGGGCCGCAGCTGCCGGCCTCCTCCCTGAGATCGGGTGCCTCTGGCGGGGGGTCCTCCCTGGCCTGGGGGGCCGGCGGGGCCCGACTAGACTCGTCGCTGAGATCCGCGGTGCGCGAGGACTCCGTCGAGCTCTTGCGGGGGTTGAGCTGCCCGGGCGCCCGTCCCAGCTGGGCCGGCGTCGGGGCCAGCACGAAGCGGGGCTGGTCCCGGGGCCAGCCGTCACTCGCCTCCCCCTGGCCGCTGGGCACGTCAGGAGGAGGCTGCGGGAGGCGCCACTGCTGATGCAGCTGCAGCGCCTGCTGTTGCTGTTGATGATGTTGCAGTTGCTGCTGTTGCTGATGATGCTGTTGCTGCTGCTGCTGATGATGCTGCTGCTGCTGCTGCTGATGATGCTGTTGCTGCTGCTGATGATGCTGTTGCTGCTGCTGCTGATGATGCTGTTGCTGCAGCTGTTGCTGTAGGTGTCGCTGCTCTTCGAGGGAAGGCAGCGACAGCGGGCTTTGCTGCTGCGAAATGGTTGCAGTGGAAATGGAGAAAAGGTATAGACCTTTTGTGTGTGGGCATTGAAGTCTAGACTACCCAGAAAAAACAATTTCTGCAAACAAAGTTCATTTTGCAAAAATGCCATATTTACATCCACCAACATCTAGAGAGTATTCTCAGAAAGTTTCATTACTTTGCACAGCATAGTTAATTTTTTATAAATTATTTTCGGTACACCGATGCTAACGAAAAGCCAGGGGTTGGAGCACTTTGAATCATCTTTCTCCGTTCCACTTTTCGGCATAAATTTCACTTTAGGAAACCTATTGTTTGCCTATTACACAATAGAGAATTATTCTTAGGGGTTTTCTGGGATAGAATTTTGAGAGGAACATGCCTGGCTGGTTAGTTCTTCTACTTTAACATTCTTTCATGCTTAAAAAACTACTTTTGTAAAAAAGCGCAGACATGAAAATATTTGTAATCTTTTCATAGAGTTATACTTAGGAAAAACATTGCAATATAGCAAAATAACTAGCTGGGCATGAGCTATGGGTTTTCCTATGAGAATATTACACATAAAAATCACAAAAGTTTATTTTATTTTAAAACAAAAGTTTTCCTAAGCGAACACACTGACTTCCATATTGTACCATTCATAGCAAGTTTCAGAATTGACATAGGACAATGAAATTTGGTGGGATGGTCTTGCCACTTGTATAAACTTCCACTGCAAATTTCATTGAAATGAAGCAAGCGGTACAGAAGTTGACTTTTCTGGGTAGTGACCCCCTTAAAAGTAAACACCTTTAACAGAGATATATGTCTGGTTAGAAAAAGGCTGAGTAAGAACTGAAAATTTAGCCGAAGTTTTAATAAAGACAAAATTTTCAATGTTTTGGGACCAACTCGGTCCCTTGGTCACAGGTGACTCTGAGAGGTGGACGGAATAGGGAGATGCTTATGCAGGCTCGTAAAACCATAGGAACAGTCTTTTCTCTCACCACACTACTGGGAAGTGATCACTTTGACCGTGACTATCACTTGTTCTCGTCTTGCTTCTATACTTCTTTTTACTTATTCCAAGTATTAATACTTTGTTGTCTTTTGGATGTCCCTTATTGGAAACCAAGTTGCTGGGGACAAGTATATATGTAAAAGTTCTATACAGCACGTAACAGATGACGACACGAGGAGGATGGCGAGCGTTTTAGCGTACCTGCATGAATCTAACGCAAGGTATATCTTTGGACGTTTCAAACTCAGAAGAGTATGTTACGCCAGAACCATGTTTATATATTTTTCGGTAGTTACAATTTGCCCGATCATGTGGTTTTTTGCTTCCGTCCCCCGAAAAATTACTACACAGGTGTATCCTACTTTGTGCGGCTGCATTAGGATTATGTACCCCAAGCTTACGGTTATTTAACTTTTCGTGCACCCTATTTGTGCGTGCACAAACTTTGTTCAAAGCAGTAAAGGGTGTGGACACAGAAAATTTAGACTGCCCACCGAATTTCAATTTTACTGCAAATCAAACAGCTTTTCCCGCTTGCCTTAGAGCATCGCAAAAAAAACGATACGGCCACGTTACACACTCGCAGCTAGTACTTGCTTGGTAAATCTTTAAAAGAAGACTCTTGGAAGCCTCGAATAGCAGCCGACATTTTTCCAAGCGACCTTAGCTTTTTCAGAGCGAAACGTCGGCTACCCTTCCGAAACTTCCAGGACACTCACTTTCAAGTTTACTCTGCCAGCTTAATATTTCATTTAGTGTTTTGTTTATGCTCCGTAAATTATGCGCAAGAATGGACCAGCAAAATGATGCTTTGTGACGTCTCCGACACGATTTTCCGCCAAAAGCAGAGCAGCTGTGATTATTACTGCGCCGTACCACAACTTTTCCAGGAACTACTCGGAAAAGGTATTAACACCTCACACGGCACAAACACGATGCAAATCGAATCAAACAAAATCGGAACACTATTCAGTGAATATGCAAAACTTTGAACATCCATACACACTTATAAACAGTGCTGCTCTACAAACTAGGGTGAACTCCCACCGTCTGAAGTGTCACGAGCTGCCTACCAGAATTGGTAACTGAGCTCGACACAAACAAAGCGAGAAACTGGACCAACGAGAGTTTGCTTTGTCCAGTTCCCCACTCTGTTTGTGTACAGTCGCGCCGTTTTAATTACGAAGTCGCCTACGTCTGAAACGCTGCATGTGCCTCTGGCGCAGAGCCAGGAGAGCCCCCTCACCATTTTGTCGCCGAGCTCCGTGGTCTTTTTGCTCCCCCTCGAAGTCCTCTCTGGTGATGCTCTGCTACTAGATTTGAAATCTAGAACATAAAGAAAGTATGCATTCAGATGGCACGGCTCCTCTCAGTACGCCCCGTACGAGGACTCGGAGCTGGCCGAGAGAACTCACCGTCAGACTTGTCGGGTTGTAGTCTCGAATCTAGGAGCATAATGGCGGAGGCAGTGAGTGTCTTGGTCCTATGAGATCGAGGGCTAGAGTCCAGCTTTGGTTCCGTTGGGGTGAGGTTACCGGATTTCATGGAAAGCACCCCTGGCAAGAAACGGTTTGTTTTCTCATTAGAAACGGTTTGTTTTCTCATTAGAACGGCGAAGCGATGCACATTTACTCAAAAGGCAACAGTGAGGCACGAAACACCGCCGAGACTTTCATTTCGTGGCTTTCATTCTCATGCCGAGGACGAACGTGCACATTTTATGCTCATGTAACAAAAGAGCAGACTGCTTCAACATACTTAAGATAAACGTTTGATGAATGCAATGACAGTAAGGAAGCACACACAACGGAATACTCGTGGCTTGCATTCCCAAACGATTACCACGGAGAGTGTTAACGCTCTGCGTGACCGTTATATTTAGTCGATTCCTTGTACTTTCTTGTGTTCATCAACTTCACCTGAAACATTGTTGGGCGTCATGCGGAAAGCTCAAATATCCTGACATCAGTTAGAAGAAACGGATGTGAGGTCATTAGAGACTGGTGCGTGCAGGGGTCGTAACAGCATGCTTCTGTTTAGTCAAGCTTTCAGACAGGTCTGTCAGAATGTTTGGAGCAGATCCTAATCATGGGTTTTGTAATAGCATCTATAAAACATACAGTAATCCCTCGTTTGACAAAGTGAACGGGACGGCAAAAATATTCTATTTAAGCGGTAATTCAATAAAAGCGAGAGCCAAAAAAAAAACAGCAATAGCAGCCTTGAAGGTGGGCGGGAACAGTGCAGAACACTCTGACCGTATATCTAATCGTACAAAACTTGGTCATGAACAACTCACAGCAGCTTTACAGAGTAAAAAAAATAATTAGGTGGTGTTTGCCGATAATTTGATCCAGGCATCAGTTCTCGTCGGACTGCTCTAGGCATTGCAAGAACACTGCTGCTGCCGCTGCACTGCACTTTGTTTCAAAGCAGCAGTAGGATGCTTCGGGTCTCCACAGTTGTCGGCGTTTGCCAAGGTGCCTCTCTGACTTAGCTTAGTAAACACCCTGACCGCACGTAAGGTTTACGATTGCAGCATATGTGGCAGGAACAACAACGGGATTGTCCGCAAAGACAAGGGCAAACGAATCAAAGTTTTATGTTTGCACACACTCCTGTAGGGATCGTTGCAGCTTAGCGTTGCACCAAAAAAAAAAAAATTCCTGGTTACACCATTGGACATCTGTACCTGCTAGTCGTAAAGTCAGTGTCTTCCAATGACATTCAAGCTAATTTGTGTAAAAAAAAGTCCTGTCCAAAGTCCACCTGCCAACCTTAGAAAAATGAAACCTTCAATTACAAAGTTGTCACAAAGAGTTTCTAGGATTTTCTTTTTCAAAGGCTCTTAATAAAAAGAAAAGTGAAAGTGGTTTGGGGATACTCAAGGGTCTAGAAAAATAGTCCTCAAACTACGAGGGTCAGTAGTGCTATTCTATATTTATGAATATATATTGTAACTTGCTTTTCTTTGCCTGGCCAACTTTTTGCACCTAACTCAGTTTGTACAGCAACTTCTGATGTGAAGGCAATATTTTGTGGTTTTCGGAAGTTAAATTTCGTCTAAAAATGTGATTGGGAGCATTCCACAGAAAGGCACTAAATCAAAACATCATAATATTTTTTTTTATATATAGGAGCATTTTATAGAGGGGCGCTAATCAAAACATTGAGATAATTTTTTTTTTTTTTTTATATAGAGGAGCACAACAGAGTTAGTACGGACAACTTATCGCCGGTTTTCCATTTTTTGTCACGAGTGAAGCACTGTCATCAAAACTACCATGGTGAAATGGAACCATGTTGATCCACCGCAGTAAAATTTAGTGCCCATCCGTTTCAGTTCCACGGGGGTTCAACTAAAATGTACAATGTCATATTAATATTGACAAAGTTATGCACAGCACCTAGACTGAGCCTTTTAGGGTTAGGCTATATATACTAGTAAGTTAAATCAGGTGAGGTTGTATAAGGCTAAAGACTGGCTCACAAACTCGCGACTGCTTATGTCTGAAAGCGTTAAAACTTTTTGTGATCTCTTACTACGAGTGAAGGCCACTGGCACCATCCGTCGGGTGGCCCGGAAACGCTCGAGCTTTCTGTTTCCTAAAATACTTGCGCGCATCGTCATTTTTTTATTAGCTCGAAAATCTTTTGACGACATTATGAACTGCCATTTCTCGTCAATAGTATGTACATTTGATCTTGCAAATACCGCAAAACCTTCCCCCTAGTGAAATGCAAATTTAGGGCCACCTCGTAGGTGGCGCCAGCGTGTTGAATGTGTTCTTTAGAGAGCCTTATTTCGGAGATTTCGCAACACGTGCCACGAGGAGTTGAAAGCGTTGATCGTCTGCAAGCGCTTCCGCCTTCCCGCCTGCTTCCCCCCCCCCCCCCCCCCCCCCCCGACCGACGATACAGCGTGTGCGTGCTTGCAATAACTCGGTGCGGAAGGCGTCCGCCATTAAATTGCAAACGCTCCCCACGGTTTGAGTTGCTTCCTCTCTTAAATCCGGTCTCTCTAGTGTTCTCCCGTCGTAAGAAACTGTGAGAGCTCCATTGCAAGCAAACGCAAGTGTGTGAACCGGCCTTAAGTCATATACAGGTCAGGCGAGATTTGAATGGGTCTGCGCAGAAGCCGCCAAACCGGGACTCCATACTCACCCGTGAAAAAGGGTGAAACGCGCGACCTGGCCAGAGAACAGCTCAGAGGAGAGCTGGACGGAAGCACGCCCTGGCTGTTTGTGACAACGGCCACTTTCGAGCCGAGGGGCGGCGGCGGGGCGGGAGGGGTTAGCGCCGAGCGCGGGGAGTCTCTGCCGTCTGCACGCAAACGGGGTGGGAAGCGTCCCCCGGGGTTAGTTCGACCCGCAGGCACAAGCCGTCTCGTGAGTGCAACCGCCACAGCTGTGGCGGGAAAAGCGAGTGGCAGAGACGGCATACAAAAGCACCTAATGACGGACTCTACCGTGGAAAATGGTAAGCCGAATTTTCAACTTTTCAATGGATGACTGTTACGGCAGCACAGCTCACTCTACGTGCGCAGCGACATAGTTCGTCAAGTTCCTCCTTGATGTTTAATGTCTAGAGCAGGGGCTCTCAAACTGGGTTCTGGGGAACACAGGGGTTCCACGAGCTGGTCTCATGGGTCTCAAATTGCAACCCCCTCGCCCCCATGTCGCAGGCTGCGCGGCAGGACCATGCAAAGCGCCTTCATCTCAATTTGTACTGACATCGCGATTGATATGGTGGGGATATATGGGAAGCAACACGAGCAAAATTGCCTACAATTGTGCATCTGTTGCTTCTTAGTCGGCAAATATGGAGAGGGGGGGGGAGGTGTTCCGCGGCAGTTTTTGAGGCTTCCTGGGGTTCCCAAGACAAAAAAAGTTTCAGAACCCTTGGTCTAGAGAAAGAGGAACTAAAAATGTTTACAAGAAATATGTTTATGCCATGGATACTCAAATTGGGATCTCGAATTGGGTTCCCCAGTCTCCAATTTTTTTCGAGTGATCCTACTTTAGTGAAATGTTTGCCTAATGTGAGCACTCTCAAGTCCTCTCCTACAACTAACCTCTTCAAATTTTCTCCTTTACAGTTGTAAATTTTTGACTGGAGCTTACCTCTTGAAGATACTGTAATCATACAAGAGCCCATCCATTTCTGAGCCGCACTCGCCACTCTCTGCATTATGTAAACAACCTCACCTTCGTTTTCTCCAGTCTTCTCCTAGTGTTAAGCTTATATATTTTGATGTTTGTCCCCCCTCATGTAAAGCCCCCAAAGGGTAAAATAAATAAAATGAAATGGAGCATCGTATGCTAGCAGGCTGCTATGTTAGCAGAATATGAAAGACTTCATGCAAGCTCCACTGAGTCATCACTTCCAAAGTGAGGCAAGAAGTTTACAACTCACCCTTTGCAGAATGAGTCGAGTGAACCTTCAGTACGCCTGGGGGGTGGGGCGAAGATGATGGGGAATGACTTCGCCTAAAGAAAACAATGAAGAGGGTAAAGCTCCAGGCAATTTGCATACAGTAGCTTTTAGACATAGGTGGTACACAATGCAGCATACAAAACGTGTAATGCCGGTGCAGACAGTTGAAACGACAGCAACTCGAACAACTCTAAAAAGCAACACAAAAATTAGCGTCGCAAAGCTACTTTTTATAGCTTTAGTGTCACAGCTGTACCAGTGCTTGTAATTACTGCGGATGCAACCACCAGGAGAAGCTTTCTAACATGCCAGTGCTCTCGAACAATTTATACTGGCTGCCAACTCATCTGTGCAACGTGCGGCAGAACACACCCAACCCTCCCGCAGCTCAAAAAAAAAAAAGGTGATCAAATCAAGGAGAGAGAGCGAGGGCAGATGAAACAATTCCTCTCCTTCTCTCCAACCAGTGGCAGCAAAATCGAAGCCCCTTCGTCCCTCTTCTCCTTGCAGTAGCACGGAGCTGCGGCATGCCAGGAGAGGCTACGCTACGACATCTGGAACCTGTCTTCAACTGGTCTGTTTACCACGTCAAAAGTATTCTCTACATTTCGGCCCGATGACGTCGCAGAAGTGTATTGCTGTTGGCTGCAACGATTTTCGCGGTGTCACAGCGGCTGGGGCGGACGCTAAACGCACCAGTTGGAGATGCATTGCAGGCACCGTAAGCTGCAGATACGCGGAAGTGACCATAGCGCAGCGAATCAAGATAAGACGATTGTGATTGGGTAGAAGAGGAAGAAGCAGAGGGATTGGGGGCGTGTGTGATTGATTCCTTCTCGATTCGACGAGTTACCATCGCATTCGCGTAAGTGCAGTCGTAGTCACCGCAGAGTTTGCTCGCTTCGCGTGGGAGATTTCGCGGTGAGTGTTTTACTTCGCCTCCTTCGATTCAAGAGGAGCGGCGAGGGCGCTACCTGTCGGGCGACGGCAGGACGAGGCAGTGGGTTCCGGCCGCAGACGAGAGCAGCCGCGGGGAGCCGACCGCCGGGGGTTCGGCGGGGGTCACCTGGATCTGGGGGGGCAGGGGCCCGCCCCCGAGCGAGATCAGCTGAGGGGCCAGCACGTCCTTGCCCACGATCACGCCTTGCACCGACGGGCTCGAGGGACTGGATGCCCTGCACGTTATTCCACGTTATTCCTCCGGTTTGGCAGGCAGCGAGAACTTTCCCGCAACGGCAGTAGCAGGGAGGAGGGAGAAGCCACCATCGGCGGTAATGACACACAAACTAGAGCCCCCTAATAAGCTACACTCGGAAGGTGTGCATTCCAATCCAGAAATTCCGTTTGAGTGCTGTTGCACTGGTCGCCAGGGCAGGACAACGTTCTCGGAGAGAGTGTCTCGCTTAGCAGCCCAGACCAACCGAAAATGCGCCCCGTTTGTTTGTACCGCTTCACGATACGTACACTCGAGGCATTCGGTACCGCCCTGCAACGACCCCGATCTATGCGTCGGCGTACGCTCGGCCTCCGCCGAAATGCAGCTCTAGTGTGCACTTGCCAAAGTTCCTGAACTTAAAGGCCGACTTTCAGAATCGTCGTCTGCCGGACAGAAAACCAGTTCCCAGCTTCCTTTTCTCCATTCCCTCTCGTAATCTTCTCTCCTGCTCTCCCAACCGGAGAGAGTCTCCAAGCTACTACCCACAAAGGGAATTTAGGGAAAGTTTCCTTTTTTCTGGCTGCTCATTGGCCTTCAATTGAAAATTTATTAGCAATTTTCTGAAAGTTTTAATGAGGAAATGGCGACCAAAGGAGCCTCCAAATACATGAAGATGAGTGACAAACACTATCAAAAACATGCCCCATTTCCTCATTCAATATTTTGAAAACTTGGCTGACAACTTTTGATTTAGGTAAGGGTTAGTTTGGCATCGAGTCTGAACCACAAGCACAACAAGTATGAGCAAAGACTGACCATATGTCAATGTATAGTTTATTAATGTGAAAGCATTAAAAAGGCAGCACTGAAGTCATTTTTGAAAAAGGTAGTTTTTGATCTTATATTATTTAAAAAGTGTTAGTTCCCACATATACCAAGTCCTGTAATACAAAACAGCCTATTCATCTCAGGGCAATAGAAAAACATGTGGACTCTTTTTTCTCGTGGACTATATTGGTGTGAACCAATGAACGCCCTGCAATACGCGCAGATTCCGAACAATTTTATTATAACTCGTTTAAAAGAAAGCCCGATAGGTACACATTCAGGTAAAACTACTTTTTTTCCGCGGGCGAAGCCATCGCTTGCAATTTGCCGACACGCGTTTTTCGCCAACCACTTCACTCGGAAGAAGATTCTTCCCAAAAAGGGCATGTCGCAATCTTTGAACACGCTTTTAATGAGGGAATAAGCTACGGACGGTTGTGGGTTTGGGTTTGTTGGTATGTTTAGAGCGTCTAGATTGAGTTGTCACCACAAAAGGACGATTTTAGAATCAAATTCAGTGCCCCTTTAAGTGTCCCATGGAGCGAGCAGACGTCATCAGCTTTGAAGCTGCGCCAAACAGCACGTAAACTCCTTTTTCCTAGTGAAGCCGCGATCTGGTGGTTCCCAGCTTTGAAGCCACGCGAAAAGCCTAGCCAAACGGCACCCAGTTTTCTCGATCATAAAGGGGCGGAGTTAAGCCAAAACCTGATCGATTTCGGCTTCGGCCCCATTGGCTGGCGTGCGTCGTAGTTTCAAGGAACGAAGTTCCGATTGGCCGCTGCATGTCAGTTTCACCGACTCCCACCCCATGGCGCTGTGTGTCCGTGCCACCAGTGCGCGGGTAACATGAAGTGTCTTGCCGCCAGCGAGGCAGCGGCTGCACACCCAAAGTCAGAGCGTCGAGGAGAGTGCGCGCTCGGCCGTCGACGCAAGTACGCCGCAGACGAAATAAGAGAGCCGAAGAACGACATGCGTGCTTTTGCATTCACAAATCATGTGCCTCGAGCCTTTTTTTTCGCAGCAACAGAAACACTTTTTTTTTTCTCCGAAGCACCCAGTACTTTTTTGTTGTGAACGTTTTCAGCTGTAGAGATCCCATCGCAACTGATAGACGCGGTAGTTAATGCAGAAAAGCAGACTTGGGTCAGAAAAATGTGCAGGGGGGGGGGGGGGGGGGGGGGGAAGAATGCAAACACAACTCACATGACCGGAGGTGACGTCAGTATTTTGCTGACAGCCGTGGTGTTTGGGGTGCCCAGCTGAATACTCCCAGAGGGAATGGCCATCTGCAGCACGCCTGAAACAGCCACAACATCTCTTGTAGTGTGAGCTACACTGACCGAGGTTGAGCAGCTTCGCGTGGCTCGCATAATCAGCCGTGCTCCGTGCTGCGCAAGCGCAAGGAGCAGTGACGTCACACGGTGCACAGCTGGCGCGCGAAAGCTGCCGCCGCGGCAGACGCACTGGCGCCGCCACGTGCCCAGCTGTGCGCCTCCGTTGCGCAGTAGCCAAGTCTGATGCTGCACCTGAGCCGCTTGATAGCGCCTCTCATTTTGTGCGCATAAGCTCACGCTACATATATCCTGGCATAGCCGAGCTAAGCCACCGCAATTTTTTTTTGTCTTCTTTACTTTTTTTTTTTTTTTCCCAGTCTCAGAGCTAACAATCACATTAAATACACACCACCTCACTTACACTTTAAAGAGGGACACTACCCAGAAAAAGAACATTCCTGCAAAAAAAGTTGACTTTTGAAAAATGTAATGTTTATATCTACCAACATCTAGAGAGTATTCCCAGAAAGATTCATTAGTCTACACTGCGTAGCCAATTTTTTTTATAAATTCTTTTCGATCCACTGGTGCTAAAGAAAAGGTAGAGGTTGGAGCACTTTGAACGTGTTTTTCTCTGTTCCATTTTTTGGCATAAATATCACTTCGGGAAAACTACTAATTGGTAACGGGTCGAAGGGAAAGACTCACTCATTGTTTTTACTAACTGGAATTTAATGGGCAATGCAACTGTTGCACTACTTTTTTACTTTGTGGATGTCTTTATAAAATATGCTAAGATTTTGTCGACTATATAAAAAGCAAGAAATTCATTTGATTTTTCATTACAATGTTAGCAACAATAAATTAAGAAGTTTTGTTTTCACAATTGCACTCTCCAGGCATTCTGCTGCATATCTAGTGAAGGTAAACGTTGGGTATTACATTCACTTTCTTTTGAAAGTTTTCCTAAACTAAGCCTGTGTGTCCCTGATAAAAACAACTACAATTTCTTTTATAACTATTGTATGCAGATGAAACTTTGCACTGCATTTTGCTTCTCAACTGCCAATATATATACCGTAAATTTTATTCATATTAAGCCAAAGGTTCAAAAGTTGACCCTTTTGGGTCAACTTAGTGTCCCTCCTTAAGCATTTTTTTTTTTCAGTAAACAATAAGCAACATAATTCTTCCCAATCTACTCTGCCGAAAGGCAGTACTTGTCAGAAACAGAGCCTCAAAATGTCTTCCACACTGAATTTCCTCTATTAATAAAAACAGCGGTTGGATGTGATTGGAAGTCAGGTGAGCTCAAAGTCAGCAATGGACGTCATGTAGAGACATTCAACAAATCCCATCACTAAAACAAGCAACATGCATATTGTGTGAATCACGCAGGATCAAGAACCATTGATTTGATTTTACTTTAAATTGAATACAGGGATGATAGAATGAAAAGCTAGAGACTGACAAAATATTCATGGTGCAGAACCTAAATAGGCTGGAATGAATAGTGGATATGTTTACAAGAATAAGTAGATAGTACAGTATAGACCACTTACAACGTAACCGCTTGTAGCGCAGGACCGGGTATAACGCGGCTTTTTTAAACCACCGGTTCGCCTCCCATAGAACTCCATGTAATTACATACCGCTTAAAATGCAGGCGCGCAAAGGGAAATACCAGTTATAGTGCAGTTTTCGGAACAGCCCGGCTACCGCGCCGACTGACTGACTCTATGGCGCACCGTGAATTCACGAGGGCGCCCATCAAACCATTCGGCCAATCTTGGCCGCGACACGATCACATGGTCGTGTTGCCGCGGGGTCGATCGGGATCTCGAATTCGGCTCCCGACGCGCCGCTTTCTCTCCTAGCCACTGGAGGGCGCTGCAGGTGCCCCCCGTGGCAGAGCCGTTTATCGAGAGAGTTTGGCCATACATTGGTTTGAATAGGCGAGCATCTCGGGGCCAACCACAGGCCGCGAAACAGTCCCTAGCGGTGGTTGTGAGCTCTAAATTTGTGACACGACTAATTCAAGCCGTTTTAGCGTCGCTAGAGTTAAAGGGTGTAACTCTCAGTGACTGAAAACTTTGTGCGTGCGAGGTTTTCGTCACGCCAATATTCAAGTGTAGAATAAACGAACGTGCGCTCCAAACCAGGGCCAACTTGCTAGAAACAGCGTCTCAGCTGAGACGGTGAAAGAAAGCACTGCCAAAGCCAGCGCACGAGCCGAGCGGGACTCCGCGTCTCGAGACGCTCGCGCTCCCCACCCTTTGCGCTGTTTTCTTTCCGCCAGTCACAGGACGCTGTTATAACAAACCAACATCAGCAGTGCAGAGAAAGGCATGAGCACGAGCGCGTGGCTTTGGAAAGTGGCTCCTATGCACGAGTTCTCGTACAAACAAAAGCGTTTTGCTGAGCTAGGTTCACGCGCCTGTACCTTTGTCTTCACTGCCGACATTTGTGTGATAAAGCAGAGAGGCCGATATTGAACGCCTCTCTTTCACGCTTTGAATGCCGTTTGCAATATTGTGACGTCGCGGTCTCCTGATTGGTCGACGCTGTGTCACAAATTTAGTTTACGCTCTAAGCGCGGGGGGAATATTCGGCGCTGGCGGCGGCCTTTGCTCCGCCTATTGGCCAAACTCTCCCAATACACGGCTCTGCCCCGTGGCAGGCGAGGAGAAACCTCCTCGCCCATCGATAGATATATACTCGGTGGGGCAGGGGGCAAGAGGCCTCTAAGAACTCCGGACGAGACCGAGACGCAGGCAGGCAAGTGGGTGGCGACCGGATCTAGGATATCGCGGGACGCGAGGCCTAAGGCCTTCTTTGTGTTTAGCGTTGGGCTTAACGTGCTGTTGTAAATATTTGTGTAATGTAGCTTGTATTTGTATTTTAGATTGAGTGTTTTGTAGCGTTGTGTGTTATTGTACCAATAAACTGGGAGCGGAATCCCGCTCCCGTGAAAGAACCAGTCTGGACTCGGGTTGTTGACGGACCACGTGGGAAACGACCAAGCGACGGTGTTTTCAGCAGCCTAGCCGTACGTCTGAATTCCGGCGTACTTCGATTTTTAGGAGAGGGGAGTATGGCGCACCGTGAATTCACGAGGGCGCCCATCAAACCATTCGGCCAATTTTGGCCGCGACACGATCACATGGTCGTGTTGCCGCGGGGTCGATCGAGATCTCGAATTCGGCTCCCGACGCGCCGCTTTCTCTCCTAGCCACTGGAGGGCGCTGCAGGTGCCCCCGTGGCAGGCAAGGAGAAACCTCCTCGCCCATCGATAGATATATACTCGGTGGGGCAGGGGGCAAGAGGCCTCTAAGAACTCCGGACGAGACCGAGACGCAGGCAGGCAAGTGGGTGGCGACCGGATCTAGGATATCACGGGACGCGAGGCCTAAGGCCTTCTTTGTGTTTAGCGCTGGGCTTAACGTGCTGTTGTAAATATTTGTGTAATGTAGCTTGTATTTGTATTTTAGATTGAGTGTTTTGTAGCGTTGTGTGTTATTGTACCAATAAACTGGGAGCGGAATCCCGCTCCCGTGAAAGAACCAGTCTGGACTCGGGTTGTTGACGGACCACGCGGGAAACGGCGAATCGGCGGCGGTACGCGATTTCCTACAACTCAGAGAGCACGCTTCCCTGTGCGACACTAGATAACGGCGCGAGCCGCAAGCGGCACTCGCGGGGCAAGGAGGTTGCTCGAGGAAGCGGGGAGAAGCGAAGAGAGAGGCTTCAGCTGCCATAGCGACGGAGGGACGCACGGACGTGTCGTTCACGTGCGTGCGTCCCTTCGCTGCGTTGGAAACGTTGGAAGGGTTGGAAGCTAACCTCCTTGGCTGGAAGCAACTGCAACGACTGAGGAGAAGAGTTCGCGCGCGTTGAATGCCGGTCGCGGGCCAGCCGGCCGGCTGCTTTTATCCGCAAACATGGCGTCGGTTTTGATCGTCGACGTAGACGGCGTGGTAGAAGCTCGTCATTCCGCGTAAAAGCGCTATCCTGGACTGTGAATTTTCGTTGTGTGTCGCTATGATAACCCAACACGTACTGGAAGGGAAGATCCACCTACTCGTGCGGCGATGTTGTAGCGGGACTCTCAAGACGGCAGAAACGCCCGTGTCGTCGTGTTTGTTTACTTCGACTACAGTGGTGCTTTCTAAGCATTTGTGTTTTCGAACATCGCCCGGCTTTTTTATTTGGAGCATTTCACGCCTGTGCTCAAGTTGAAGGTATTACTGGCGCGTACCGTATAAAGGATGCGAATTTTCACGCGTTTTCATCGCCGGAGAAAAGTGATTAGGGTTAGCAATCCTGAACGCTCGCAACGTCCGTCTGCAACCCGTGATGCCGCTGCGCCAGGCAATAGTCGCTCATTTCTTTCAAAATCTGTGACACACTTGAGTGAGAAGTGTACTAGTCTGGTGAAATAAAGACTTTCCTCAAACTAAGCTTTATTTTTCATCTAACATAAAATAAATTCTTTTACAAAGGTAAGTTGTCTGATGGCATGCATTTTGGCCTGAAAAATTGATGTTTTGGTTATAGAGCGGTACCGCTTATAGTGCGGACTTTCGCGACTCCCGCGACATACGTTATATGCGGTCTACACTGTATGTCTATTCATCAATTCGTTCATCTGCAAACAATGGTACAATTTCTCGCTTCCCCCCACAATCACCATTAGACAGATCAGCAAAAACTTAATTTTTAAATGACGAAAGCTGGTCTATGACACGGAAATGACTAACGAAATATCCCGAGAGATGACCCCACCCCCGAAAGATAGCCTGTCCCTATTTTTGGAGTGATTTTCTATTTTTCCAAAAACACCGAAAGATAGCCCGCCCAGCAGCAGAAATGGTGTTACCTAGCCACGGCGGGAGATGAGCAAACATTGGCCCCTCCCTGCGATCACAAGTTTCGCAAGTCACAATACCTAAAACTAGCATATTTTTCAACTTCTTTTTATCGCACATTGAAAGTTAGCTTTCTCCTTATTTTAACCCGATTTGCTTTCGATTTTAGCTGGGTCATCTCTTGAAATGATACGTTACAACATCCCCAGCATAACTTGGCAAACGGCAAAGTAAAAACCCAGCAGGCTAATCAGAGCGTGGGAGCGAGGCACGGAACGACATGGTACCATCGGCATTCGCTCCTCCCACAGAGGGCTGTCACATGCTCCACATCACCCTTCCGACTGGCTCACAAGAACCGTAACTATCACACTTTGCCAAATTATGATGAAAGTGAGTATTCACTGCGATCAAAGTGAGCTGAAAACATAAAAGCACCACAGCACATCGTGCCCCAATAAACTTCCGGCAGCGCAATTTTTTTTCTGCCACGAAAACACAACGATCAGGGAAGACAATGTTTCTTCGAGGAACTCGTGACCGTAACAAAGTTTGTGACATTCTGGGCGTTCTTCGAGAAAGATCAAAATTACTCAAAACAAAAATAAAACAAGAAAATCGGAAGGGCGCAGGGTTTTTTCGATAGCGGGTGGTAGCGAGCTTGTTTGGAAATAGACACCAGTGAACAATAATCGGCTGATTGCTCATAAATATAGGGCGTCTGAAATGCTGTGGCTCAATTTAAGACAGGGATGTAAAAATCGGCGCCTGCATGTAGCAATCTAAACTTTTTGTCAAAAGTTGATTTCACAAGTGGGTTTTACCTCATACAATTATGAGGCAAAGTTACCTTTCTGTAAAAAAATTAAGGCCAAAACATTTGCCAGGGTTAATGGCAAACGGCGACGCAGATGACCAAGTCGAGTGGCGGCACGCTTTTGGCACACATATTGATATATGGCGTCGGGAGCGGTGTCGGAATGTGTAGCTAACCAGCGAAAAATGTGGTTATACAACCACATTTTCTTTTATATTTCTTACTACAAGTTTTTCTATCATTGTCCTTACTTTTAGACCAAAGGTACATTATATAAAGATTATATGTTCATTTGAATAGACCTCGATCGTCGCGGGCAGTCTCGATTTTTTTTTAAAAAGCAAACCGGAACAAGGAGGTAGCGCCATCTATCAATACAGTAAAACCTCGTTATAAAAAAGTTAAAGGAGCGATCGTAATTATTTTGTTATAAGTTATAACCATTAGTTTGTTATAGCCAATGTCCATTTCTTCCCTATTAGCATGCAAGGGGAATTATGATTGCTTTGTTATATCCATTAGTTCGTTATATCCCATTTTGTTATAACGAGGTTTTACTGTATGTGCACCAAATGCACCCCAAAGCTCAACTCGGCGGTCCACGTTGGCGTTCGCCGTCAACACTGGCAAGTTTTTTGGCCCTGTTTTTTGGCCCTCTTTTTTGCAGAAAGGAAGGTACGCCTCGTAATTTACGAGGTAAAACCCAACTGTGAAATACACCTTTAACGAAAAGTTTAGATTGCAACATGCAGGCGCCGATTTTTACGTCCATTCTTAAATTGAGCCACAGCATTTTATACACCCCATATATAACCCCCTCCTCAGCCCCAACTGTGCGTCTCTTCGGCATACCTTAAAAGGACCACTAAATGCGTAGCATTCATAGGTCCTCCACAATGTTACGATGTCGCTCCACGTTAGCCACGCGACGTCACAAACCATCAAAAAAGCGTGTGGTCATGTGACATTGCAGTCCCGACATCACGGCGTTGGGCGAAGCCACGGTGTCGCACAAAGACGCCGACCAGAGAGTTTCCTCTCCTAGGATTCGTTACCGCTCCGGCACTAGCGTCAGACGCCGACTCCCGTAAACGCCGTGACAATGGCAACGCGCCGCCGCCATCGAGCCGACAGGAAGACCCTAAAGCCGCGGTCACACAGCTCAAGCATCCTACAAAAGGCACAATGTTCGCTGAAGACATGCCTCAGGTACGTTCAAAGCAGGTTTGCTTCATGCATTTTAGATGTCGGCAGACAGCATTTGTACGATCAACAAGCACAACCATCGTACGAGAGTTAAACATGCCTCAGACAGCGGCTGCAACTTTTCTTTTATACGACGTATGTATTCGCAACGCGACCGCGGCTTAGAAGATGGCCTCCGTAAATGCTACACATCTCAGAAAGGGGGCGGCAGTGGCAGGTGCACCCACTTTTGACCCCCGCCGGGGACGGCTGGAGCGAGATGGAGGACGGCAGCAGGTACTGCACTTGGGTGGGGGCCATGTGGAGTTGGCGCACGGGAGCCCCGCCGTCGGGCGAGGGGGGCATGCCCGGCCTGAACATCACGCCGGTCAGGGGTGCCGCCCGGTCACCCTTGGACGGCGGGGGGCTCAGAAGGGTGTACTGGGATGCCCCGGGCACCAGCAGGGTGTGGCCCAGGTGCCCATACATGGGCTTAGACAGGATCGGCACCGGGTTGGAGGTCGTGCGCAGTGGGGATGCCTGCCCACGCGGGACACGAATTGTTAAAGTTAGTCCAAATTTCGATAGTCACTCGTTTGCCTCAAAATTGATTCAATGCATCGATAGACACATCTGAACAAGTAAACCAAAATACAAAACACAATCTTTTTTTTTTGTTTTTTTTTTAAGCTTTTATACGTTTTACGAGGCTCCATCGTCAAAGGTAAAAATTTGCAACAAATGTTGTAATTTGGGTCGAATTTGGGCAGCACAGCTTGTTCCTTACAGGTTACAAGAAATGTGATGGTGTGATATGAATGAGCTTTGGCTCATGCTAGCAAAGCAAAAAGAAGCACACAAAATACCACATTTTCTAGACGTACATTACACAGAGAGAGAACTAAACTATTTATTGTCCGAAACATGTCGCAGCTTCGGTTCAGCTAGTTTTTCTTCGGAGGGGGTAATGCAACATGCGTGGCCAAGTAGGCAGTGCACGCGGCTCCCACGTGGAAGAATCGAATTTGAGTCCTGCTAGCCCAGTTTTTAACGCAGAAAGTGTTTTATGGATCGTTTTCTATTAGAAAATTTTCATTAAAGGAGCGTCATGACGAATGTCATGAATGAGTGACACGCTGGGAGCATAACAGACAATAAGGTTTTATACAGACTGTATATATAAAGTTTGAATGCGGCAGGGCTCGAACCTGGGTCTGGGCGGTGGCAGTCAGATACTGTAGCCACCAGTAGTCTTTTTTTTTTTTTAACTCTTTGACGGCCATTGTTGTACATGTACGGAGGCAATTACACATTTGAAAGTGTCCGCCTAAATGCAAAACTGCGCACACTGCGGGAGGTGCTGCTATTTGTTATGCCTTCGGCAAACTTTAAACGTCATATTCACAAGTTTCGCCTCGCTGAGCTAATTATAGTTTTCAAATTAGACGCTCCGCGCACGTGATGCTCACTTCACTTACCGACCGCTTTGGCAGTGGTGTGATTGAGAGCACTGGTTCTTCTGATTAAGATTTCTGATGCTTTTAGGAATTAAATTCGAAATGTGAGAACTCATCATCCGACTTAAAAGCCTCCTGAAGTGCCTCGGGTTAGGAATCTAAAACTGCTGGAATGTTCCAGAAGTGGACGTGCCAAAATTGAACCCAATGGAAGAAAGGAGAAAACTTTTCGCCTTCAATATTTTCATTTAATGCTTTTAGACCTAAACATCTTGCAAGTACTGTACGTGCTCGCACTAGATAACTTAAAAAAGAAACTGTTGTTTTATTTTTTTTTATGCTACTCCATTGGAAACAAAACCCAACCACTGGAAAACATCTTTTGAGAAAAAAAAGTTGATTGTTGAAGGTTAACGGTTACTAGCACAGCTCGTCTGGGAGGGTACTAAATGATTATAGGCTTGAGCGTGTTGGTAATCTACATTGAATTAAAACGAAAGAAACACAAAAGAGGCCGAAACAGACGACACAGCTTTCGACTTGCAACTACAGATTTACTGGGGCGGCTCGCTGCTCAGAGCTCGACTTGGGGAGGCGATGGGGAAAGGGGGGGAGGGGGATGAGGGGAGGTGTAAGAAACACAGGGAGACCGTTGCGGGGGCGAACACAGCGGGCGGTCGGGAGTCTGGTCCACGGCGTGGTCTGGTCCGTCTCGCCTCTCTCGTAGACGACACCTCGCGTCGCTTCGTGCCGTCGGGGGCGCGGCGGAGAGCGGGGGGAGGGGGGGGGGGGGGGGGGGGGGGGGGGTCATCGGAATTCCCCGGGGAAGGCGCAAGACGGACCGGAGCACCAGAGGGTCAGGCGAAAACAGAAGAAGGCGAGAAGAAGTAAGAACAGAGGGCGGCTTTCCGGGGTTGTTTTTGTTTGCCACTGTTTTCCCAAACCTTTAAGTTCTAGTGCCGCGTGTGCTGGGGGGCTCCCCTCCCTCGCAGGAAGCTAATCTCTCTCTCCGAGAGGGAAGGGGAAGGGCCGGAAAGGTTTGTTGTCGCTGACTTGATACTTACGGATTCTATTATTTCTTTTCCGAATCGAGATCGGTGTCCACCTATGATTTTTGTTTGGGTGAAATGGGGTGTGCAAGAGGAACATTTTTTTGCGTGGACAACAACCGGATGCACGGAATCTTCGGGCGGGCTCGTGATCTCCCTCGCGTGTTCACGGACCTCCGCCCTCCTGCACTAAAAAACACGCCCAGTGCTTCCGCCCCTGCGCGCGAGAGAAAGTGTACACGATCCCTCTTTCGTGCGGAGCGGAGTACACCGGTCAAACGGGCCGATGTATCAACGACCGTCTCCGTGAACACGCGAGGGAGATCACGAGCCCGCCCTCCTGCACTAAAAAACACGCCCAGTGCTTCCGCCCCTGCGCGCGAGAGAAAGTGTACACGATCCCTCTTTCGTGCGGAGCGGAGTACATCGGTCAAACGGGCCGATGTATCAACGACCGAAATGGCTGGGAAATCATGCGCAGCACAATTTCCCAGCCATTTGATATGCATTTTTTTTGCTTTACTATTTGACGTTTTTCGTCAGCCATCTCGTCTTCAGTATGCTGCTTTCTCTTTCGAGGCATTGTGAAAACTGAAACACATCCATTGACTGCCTCGTGCCACGCATGCGCGGAATGAAAAAAGGAGGAGGCACGATGTAGGAGAGGGGAATAAAGTTGACAGGAAGAAGAGGCAAAATTGTTTTGTGTAATAGATGGGAATGTTTTGGGGAGGGGAGTGGGGGGTGCCAAAAGTTGCTTTGTCATTCGCTAAGCTCTGCTACTGTTCATAGATAACAATGATCAGCCCTACGTACACTCTACAAAAAAATAGACTCACGGCCCTCATTACTTCTTAGCACACTTTAGTCTCGCAGAAAAATTTTAAATGTATTTTATTTCTGCAGAAAAAGTTGGGAGACAAAGCGTGCAGAAGGATGCACACATTTCTCCCCTTAAAGTTACTGAATTATTATAATTAGTGATAATAAATTAATGCTACGCTTGTCTCATCAAAACCAGCCTTAAGGTACTCCGTGTAAAAAAAAAATCATTTCCTAAATTCTTCAGTGAACGGGTTCTCAAACTCTGTCCCAAAGTACCCGCGGGAGTTCCCCGCCCGCACATTTTCTTTGCCCATCCCACCCCCAGGCAAATGGCTCCTCGAGCTCGAGCGCAGTTTCGGAAGATCCGAGCACCGCTTCGTTGCGTCGACACCGAGATGGAGAGGAGCTCTTCGACTATCTGCCAAGAGAAGCAGGCATTCCTTGGGATCGACGAGTTTGAGAGCCCTCACTTCCGTGGTCCCATTAGGCCATGTAGGTAGGAAGCTTCTGGAGTAGGCGGCCTTTGAAACCGCCAGAACAGAAAGGCCAGGCCTGAGCTTGGCCTTTCTGTTCCGAGTTTGGGGAGCCTCACCGCGGCGACCTCTCGCTGCTGCCTGTCCTCCGAAAGGGCGGGGGCCCTCTTCTTGGGCGAGTGGACGTCCCTGAAGACGGCCCCAGTGGGCTGGAAAGCCAGGTGGGGCCCCATGGGGCGGGGGGCCTCCCGGAGGGGGGCAGGCTCCCGCAGAATGGGCGTGGGCCGGTGCGTAACCTCCCCCGGAGGGGGGCCCGTGCCCAGGGGGGACAGCCGCGGGGACGCGTCCGACGTCCCGCCCTCCGAGTCGCTCTCGGCCACCCGCTCCTTGCACTGCAGGTCGATCGCGGGCTCCATGTCCCCTGCAACGACGCAGCCGAAAGGTCGAACGCAGTGCGGAGCAAGTGCCAGTCCGCAGTCCCCCTCCCGTGAAGGCAAACAAAACTATGATTATCTCTATAACGAGTCCCGATTATGGTACATCTACATACAGCACATAGCCTAAGGCAGCTGTTCTCAAATGGGGGTCTGTGAACCCCTCTGGCGTCGCTGAAGGCCTTCGGGGGGTCTTTGAAGCCCGCGGCCGTCGGTCAAGCCGAGCAATAAAATTTTTTGTTTACAGCAGAGATGTTAAGGGCTAGTTTCCCCAGGATCATATCCTGTACCAAACAAATGTGGACACAACACTCTGGTTTTTACCGTCGCTCATAGATGGCGGTAGCTGTCTAGTGTGTTGTGTTTGCCGGTTGTCTGCTTGCCGCCGTCGCTCATAGATCGCGGCAACCTTTCCAGCCTCAGTGACCAGACAACTGGTTGCTGCCGTCGCTCATAGATGGCGGCAACATTTCTTCGGAAGAAGAAGAGCAGGAACGGAAGGAGCGGCGATGTGCTCAGCAGCGCGAATGGAACCGCCGCGAAACCGCTATCGCCTAAAGTTCCACTGTGTAGAGCGCTTCAGATTCCCTCGCGATAGAAGAGCAGATCGCTCGCCTGGAAAGCCACCGTTGAGAACAGAAGCTACAACTTCACTGCTCTTCCTTCACCAGAGTGGAAAGGATTAAATTTTTTTAATGATGTTGGCTGTCTCACAAAGCTACATTGACTAAACCATGTGCACTGAGCCTGTTTCAGCGCTTGAAGGTTGGTCTGCATGCATTCAGTTTTCTTTCTTTACCCTTTTGTCATTGTAATTGTTCAATGACCCACCTCCCCCCCAGTGGATGGAGACCCTCATCACTTCTGCAATAAAGAACGGGTCTCCAAAACATTGGTGGTTAAAAACCATTAATGTTTGGGAATAATTCACTGTCAGTAAATTCTAACTCTACCAAAGCAGGAGAAGCTTCTACTGCAAAATCCTCCTACACTCTTTCCACTTCAGACTCTTTCCTCCTGCACTCTTTCCACCAAGCCGGTTTCTCAAAATCGGGGAAAACCAAAAACCTCAAAATAGAGCTGTCCTTGAACAAGAAAAACTCAAGCTACGCAGGGAGAAAACGTCCACCTGCAGCAGTCTTTCTGAACACAACACCCATAAAACCGTCCTGGAGGCTGCTTCTATCTTCAAAACCACATTCCCTACCTTGTGTCCCTTTCTTAAGCAACAGAAAGCCACAATTCCACACATAGTGTTTGTCGCAGCTGTTGGGTAGGTAGAACGATAACCGTTTATTCAGAGCGTTAGAGATTATACATAAAAGGACCGACACAGGACGACGTCACCACTGGCTTCCGCCGTAGCGAGTGTACGTGTCACGGTTCACTTTTTCCTGTCTGGCACATCGCGGTGCTGCAGTCGGCAGTCGCCTCTAGATGCGCTCTCGCGACACTGTTGGCTACAGTTCTTGTCGGAAACCGTTGTCGTGTCACTAGAAATGTTAGTGGCAAAATATTGTACAACACCGACGGATGGAAAGGACACTGAGACTACTTGACCACGGTGAGTGCTTAGAACAGTGGTGAATCAACCAGTGCAATGGCAACCTTATGTAAGCACGAGAAATAACTTCATCTATCCAACAAGGTACACAATTGCAGCTCTTTAAGAAGCTATTGATCCACTAGAGTCAATGACGCAGGTGGTCCTCCAGCCTAGTCACAAACTTCACTTGCCACTTTGCCACTGTAGTAGTCTTGACACTACTGCAATTCTGTGTTTTGTGTGCGACAAACTGTGGTTCACGTGCACTGGTGCGAAGCAGTGGAGTTTGATACCAGAGCGCTCTTGAAAAGCGCTAAAGCTTGATGAAAGACACTGGAGAATTCTTTAGACATTATTCATAATTTTCAAATATTCGAAAAACTCAAATACTTTATACACTAAAAGTGTTGCGAATCAAATGAAACAGCAAACACTATGAACACACCGTAAAATACTGAGCAAGCGCCCACTCAAAATTCAAAGATAATCGCAAAAAATAGGGGATGGGCACATGTGAAGTCATCAATTTTACATATATGTATGTACTTTGCATAGTTTTTCAGATATTTAAAATTTTGGGGGTGGGCGCTTAGTGCGGAGTGGGCGAATGCACGGTATTCTACGGCAGCTGAAAAATTATTTGAAGTTAGGAATATTCGCACGCATTTAAATATACTCTAGCAGGAAGAGTAAACCAGGAGGATGTGACAGAGACAGGCACATTCTGCTAGAAGCATACTTATACCAACACGCTCGTTATAAAGATACACGAGACTTGTCAAAAGTCTTAACCCGGCAAAATGGATGACCTGGCACCTGCCGAGAGCTCAGACTAGAAGTGTCAGCCTACCTTCATCCTCGCAGATTATCATTCTCTCATCGTCGCTGGAAGCGTCCCCATCCTTATCCGTGATGCTTCCCATGACGGCACTGTTGATGGAAGACTCCGACGCAGCCTCGGCCCACGACGCAGGAAGGGCGCAATTCTGAAACATTGTCCGCAATCAGCCGCGGTAAAGGAACAAGCAGCTGCATGAACAAAGCACTAAGAGCAGACCGCTTCCGAAGTTTGGTGACATTTAGTGGCCCAAATATAAACAGCTTTTGCCGTACTGCTCCAGTGCATGCTTCTCCTTTCGGTTTGAAAGTACAACTGGGCAGCATCATGTAGAAGAGGGACGCCTCATCCGGGTTGAAGATATCTTTCTGACGGTAAGTTTTCTGAAGCTCGGCGAGTCGGTGGTTGCGCCAGAGGTCCACAGACGCTTCATCCACTGTGCCACTTTCGTCGTGTATTGGCTTCAATATCACATTCTTCCGCTTCTTCAAGCGGTCAAACCTTATCTGTCATCAATGCGGTGGTTACTGGAAGGTTGGCTGCCCTGACTTACTTCAGTCAGCACAGAAACGCTGCCTCGACGTCTGAAAACTTGGAATCCTGGAGACTCTTCGTCTTGCTTGAAAAGCTTTGCTCAAAGCCGCCAAAGACTTTGTCCTCGTTTTTCAGTACTGCTGATAGCACTGATGAAAAAATCCCAAATTCCTTCGTGATACTGGACTTTGTTCTACTTCCTTTCTCAACTTCCCCGATGAGAGCAACTTTCCTCTCAAGCGTCAATGATTTGCACTGTTTGGGCTGTGCCATCTTCACAGTCAATCGAGTCACGCACCAACAATGTCGGAGAATTCACAACCAATGACCGAATTGAACACTTGACACTTGCTCATATGGCACCGTGATAAGATCGAAACACCCGGAAAAAAATGGCGAACAAGCAACAAAGAACAGCAATACTCTCGAAATGAACGAGACACCTCTGTGAGAGACGTGACTGACAAGACGTCGACCAGACCGGGAAGAGAAACGGAAGAACCCAGAAGCAAAGAAGAGAAACAAAAGACAGAGCAGAAAAAAACATGCGAGGGAGAGGGGGCATTGAACGCCAGGCATCCCGGCTTGTCATTGGCCTGTCTAAACGGAGTCGTTGAAACAATAAAAAAGAAAGAAACAATAAAAAGAAAAAACTTAGGACAACAAACTTTTTTGAGGCACACGTCTCTCCGAATTTTTGTGCCTCGCACCGCGCAAAAAACATGGTGCTTTTTGTTCTTTTTCTTATGTGCCTGCACATTTTATTAATTTTTTCTTCTTTTTTTTTTTGTGCACACATATTTTTTTTGTTTTTGGCACAGTTTTTGTTGTTTATTGTGCATTTTTTGTGCTTTTTGCTGACATGATTTTCATATATTTCAAGTCCGCCCTGAAAACCTTTTGAGATAAGCAAGGACAAAATGCATTGTGCCTATGGGAGTTCATTCCATGACAAGGAAATTTTACAACTTAACCACTATTTCGAGATAGCCATGTTCGAGTTATTGAGCTATTTCTGTATGGCTCCACCGACGGTCGCCTACAGAAAAAGTATGCTTTACTAAGCATGACTCGCAACCGACAGTTGCTTGCAAATTAAGTATGACTCGCTGACAACAGCCGCTTGCGGACTAAGCATGCCGGACTAAGTATGACCTGCCTCTGACGGTTGCTTGTGGATTAGGTATGATTCACCGCCAAAGTCATTTGTGAACCAGGCATGCTGGACTAAGTACCACTCGCCACAGACAGACGCGCGCCACCGCAGACGACCGTCGGCACTAAGTTATACAGTAAAGTTTCGTTACTTCAACCTCAGCTAATTTGACTTTTCGTTTAATTCGATCGTGTCCAAAAGTCCTGGAGAGCGCCCATACATTTTTATGAAAGGAAAAGTTTGATAGTTCGAACTCGGGAAGACTCCGCATCGTATAATTCGCCCCGAGCGAATGCGTGTGGGCTCACCGTGCACGGCACCACGGCAGAAAAACCAACAACGTAAGGTGAAACACGGGCCGCTTTGCTGCAAAGCCAAACGTGCGCAAATATGCGTCTGCTCCTCTACGCCATTGAGATGGACAGTAGCGAATGACTCGAGCCAGCGCAATCAATCTGGCAAGGGGCAGCACAGAGAACATAGCACATGGTAGGGTGCGGAGACAGCGCGCTGTCAAAGCGCCTTTCTGTAGCATCGTGTGCAGTCCATCTTGCGCGCCGGGAAGCGTGGGTTCTTTTTTTCCTTTTCTTTCTTGTTGTTATTTTTCTCTGTCACTGACGGTCTGGGCACCCGGCGCCAAAATCGGCTAATATATATATATATATATATTTTTGTAGCTGTGCGCAATATTTTGAGGACGTGGTGTTTAGTTAAGCTGCTCTCCGGAGCATGCTTTTAGACAGTTGTTTTATGCTCAGACGGCAGCAGACCATCTGTGAGTACTTTGGACAATAAAAAGAAGTTTAATTTTACCCGTTTTTCTGTCCTTTTTTTTTAATTCGATCATTCGGATAATTTGACCGAATTTCAAGGTCCCGTCGAGGTCGAATTAATGGAAGTTTACTGTACCTAGTCCAGCTGATTCCGCTCTCTTTCCATATCCTTTTTATCAAACCCCGCACTGCAGAATGCATGGTCCAAGGTTCGATTCCCACTGAGCCCTTTGGTGAATCTCGCTGGTTCAAGTGAATTGTTCTTAGTTATGATTATGTATGAATTATGATGTTCAGGTATGCCTTCTATATGCTTTGTATGCATATGCATTGCCTGCAATGGGCTATACATACTTCATGCTGCCTTGCCCTGCATGCAATGCTTTTTCGTCACACTACAGCATTAGACCCTTTGCATGAAATTCAGTTCATAAACACACTCTATGTTAAAAGTAGTATACTTCAGTGGCAAACAAGAATGAGCTATTCCCCATCCAGGTCTTTCTCCATTTGTTTCAGTTTCAACGATGAACAGAAATTAGAAACAGCCTGTATGAAGCATTGACCTTAGTAAAGCCCCTTTTAAATTCACTACATCAAGGGGCTTAAAGTCGAGTGTGTGCTGACAAGATCTACCACAAGAGCAATATGAACACCGACGCAGCACGTGTATCTGAATCGTGTGTTGCATTGTGCTTAAGTCCCAAATAGAAAGACACGTGCCATTTGCTGGGTACATGTTTCAACTTTTCACATACCAGACACACAAAGGCTGCCATCAGCATGGCACAGCTGCCACAAGCTTGGATCATGATAACCAACAAAGTGGCCAGATTGAATTTCAAAATCAGACCATTGATAGGCTTACTATAATGCTAAAATTCATCCTGTCTGTACATACAAGATCATTGCATTGGTTGAAGAAAATAGGGTGTGTGTAAAAAGTAGTACTTACATCAGAACTTTCTCCATTCTTGGTGACGGTCAGATCTTCCTTTTGGTTATCTGAAGAAAGAATAGCGACACAAGATTTCAAAGTGATGCGTAAACCCGCTAAAGGTCCATTGCACGGGTACCAAGCACAAATGGAAAAAAAATATGTCTACAGTCGCCGACCGTTTTTTCAAACTCCGATAATTTGGACTTGTTCGATATTTCGGACCTAAAGAAGGAACCATGCCTTACCCCATAGAAATAGTGCATATTCACAACCAATGTTTCGGACAGTTTGAAGTCCGAAAGTTCGATTATTCGGACAAAATCGTTGTGAGCGATCAGCGGGGAACACCACCGAGAAGCGGCCATTTTGAATTTAATGTTGGCTGCACATGGATTGGCTTGGTTTGGCAGCGCTCCTTGAGTACTTCCGACTCCTACTGCTAGGTGACGCTATGCTAGCCCTTCTTTTTCCATTTAGCTGCACGTCATCATCATCATCATAATTATCATTTTGCTTTGTTTCCTCCCATTCCTTTGCACTTCCACCCCACTTTCGCGTCACCATTGTGCGCCCTTGGATTTGGGGCTTTCATCTCGTTCGGACAACGCTGGCTTGGACGTCATGGCCCCATCTGTTCTTCTGCTGCCGCGATGCGTCACTAAGAAGCGCAGAACGTACTCGACCATAACGCTAGACAAGGCAGTGATTCTCAAGCTAACAGAAAGTTGCCGAACGCAAACGTAGGTGTAACCTAAAACAAGGCATGCAGGCGTAACTTGAAAGAAGGCACTATTTACGGCCTTTTTAAGCCCACTTGGAAGTAATAAAGGCAACTTTTTTAATCTGCTGATTTTTCGGACTGCTCTATTATTCGGACGTTTTTTCAGTCCCTGCGAAGTTCGGATAATCGGTCGGCGACTGTAGTCCTTAAGATAATTAAAACTTGCCCGTAGTAAAAACTACTCAACAAAAAATTTGTTTATACATGGCTAGATATTACAAAGTATAAAAAATATGATGTTGAAAGTAATTTTGAGACTGAACCATTATTAGCGGTTTTACAAAATGTTAAAGTTCAGTGCTCAATGTGTGGTCACCAAGTAATAAAACAATAGATAATAAAAAATATTTACTATGCCTGCTCTTAAGAATATGCTCTCAATGTTGTACGCTTTGTATATTTATGTATGTGTTGCAGAAAAAAAAAAATGTTTTTATGCCCTAGATGCTCAGATATCCTTCCTACGAATTTGCCAAGAGTAAAAATTTGTGTTCTGAGAAAGCACTGTTTTAGCACGGATTTCAATGCAAATTCAACCTGTAAAGATATTATAAACTGATATTATGGGTCAAATACCGGTCTAAAAAATTAGAAACCTGGCAGACAAAAGGAAAGGACTGCAAATTTCAAAATAGCCATGCAAAAAAAAAAAAAAAAAAAATTAAAAAGTTAAAACGCTTTTGTATTAAAAAAAAAAAAACTTCTATTGTTTTTATTTGGCCTTTGGGATCATGAATATTAATTATATTTCACACTGATGTGCCATGTAGCCACAACAGTGCTTTGAAAATAGCGCTGACGCCTGCGCCTTCCCGACGCATTCGGTGAGGAGGAGGTAATTGTAACGTCACGCAGAGATCTCAACATTCCCTCGCCTACCGCGAGCCTTAACCGAGCAGTGAAAAGCGCTGTACACGTTCCCTCACACGCGGCACGCACAAAGCAGTTGAAATTTCTGGGTACGACGTAACATCCGACGGTTAGTTATTTGGTTTTTCTCGCGTCCAGTGATGTGTTTGGGTCAAATGCTTGTGATATTCGAATTCACGTGACAAAAATACACAAGAATTCACCTCTATCTCCTTTTTTTTTCAAGAACCTATTCAGCTTTTCTTTAATTGTGATTGCTGGAGGTAGGACGGCAATAAAGAGTCACCTGGTTCCCCTTGGTTAGCATCCATTTCCCACTCCCTGCAAGGCGTATTTACTTCCAGCTCTCTAAGGCAACAAACAAATTCGACTTGGACCTCCGAGATAAACTTTCCCTGCGAAGAAACCTTCTTTCCCTGCACGGCCGAGAAACCGGGTGCCAGATTCCCGCGGGGCCACTGGTTCCAGCCAGCCGCATGGAGCGTACCCTCGTGCTGGTCGAGGCTGTCCCCGGAGGCCAGGGTGCCGCCCAGGTCGTCCGAGGTGCTGAGGCACTTTCGCACATCCTTGCACTGGGGTCCCCCGAGGCTCGACTTCTTCCGGTCCCGGCTGCACCACTTCCAGTCCGGGTGGGCCTTGAAGTGGGCCTCCTTCACCTGTGGACGACACACAGGACGGGCTGCTGTCCGGCTCGTTCAAATCGCAAGGGTCGGAGCCACTGAACACCCGCGGAGTACCGTTGACCGTACCACCCTCTCGAACCGAAACATTGAGCCAATCGAGCTATTCGATCGTCTGAAAGCGGCCCGTCCTAAACCCCGGTTTAAAAAAAGTGCCTAAAGGGATTGTGCAGCAGTTCTGAACAGCTGTTGAATTACAAGCGGTTTACGTGTCTTAGTTTTGCTGGGCTTTCTGTATAGAGCAGCACGTTATATAGACCAGAAAAGGAGAATGCTGGCCCATTCGGCCGCTGGTGAGCAGGCTCTGCCAGCTCTGCCCACTCTCATTCGGCTGCACGGAGTTGCCATTTTTAGAGCCATTGATTGCAGCGCAGCGATGCTGTTCCACGACGAAGCTCGACAGTTTGCACTCTGGGAATATTTCGTGGCCCTAGTGGGATATCTCAAAATCGGTTTCCTTTTCACACTGTTCAGCAAGCGGCGAATACGCCGGAAGACTGATGCCCTGTCTCACTGCTTGTGCATGATGAGCTGTGGAACAAAAACTAAACTGATCTACATATACCACTGCAAGCTACGTATCTTCCACTTCTTTAGACTGAAGACCTGATAACTGAGGGACCACTGGCAGCTTCAGAATACAGCAAAACCTTTTGGACAACTCCTGAGGCACGGCGGAGCCGGCATGAATGTCTGAGTTGGGTCATATGCATGGAATGGCACCTTGAAAGAGGTTGTCAGTGAGGCAAGAGTGTCTGGGTGATTTAATAAGTAACGAAGATCAAACCACAATTGAGCCAAACGAATGCACTTGATAACAAAATCTCTTTTGACTGGGCATAGCAAAATAGGTTGTAGGCGAAACACAGTACAGATTATCTGGTTCTGTGCATGGCCCGCTCCATCCTAAGTTTAACAGAAACCTGCAGTATTTCCAGAACAGAAAATTGCAACAATCGATCATAGACGAACACCAGGACGCGTAAACCGATTGTAAACCATTCCATGCCTATGTGCCGGCTACCGTGAACCTAAAATATATTACTACACAGGCTCCCACAAATAAAAATGTAAATTAAGCCCCAGTTTCAAAGCATCTAGTATATCTGTCCACACATCCAAACCGACGACTAAACATAAAAGTGGGAAGGCATCTCTGGACTTGCATCGCGACCGAACAACATGGACGTGTTCCAAAAAGAGAGTCGAGGCCGAGAGAGGACGGATCACCTTGAAGGCAAGGTCGTGATACTGCTGCTTCTCCGAGGGATTGAGGGCGTACCACCACTCGCCCAGGATTTTGCTGACTGTGCGGTTGTCCTGGTTTGGGTGGCGCTTGTGAACCAGTGCCCGGTGGCGCTTGCTGAATATCATGAAGGCATTCATGGGCCGCCGGATGTGGTCCTTTTCCTTGGCCTGCAGCAACAAAGGGGCAAGCAAAGGCGGCCACATCTCCTTGTCAGTTTCCAAAGAGTGTGGGGAAAAGTCACGGGGAGGGTCAATGCTCAACAGTTGCAGTGTGGGAACATGGAAGCGCGTGGCATCGGGTACTATCAGAGTACTGTAATGCCCCGGCGTGCAACTGCAGCGATGCGGATGCACTGCAGTTGTGTACCAGGCAGTTAGAATGCTCCAATACTACCCGATCCACGTGCTCCGGTGTTCCCGCTAACTGTGATTAAGATTGTAGAGTCAGTCCTCTCTATGGCCTCCCACAGAACCAGAAAATGCATTGTCGACCGTGGCCACGCTTTCGAGGTGCCCTTTCTAGAGCCAGTGGCCAATACCCAGGTATCTACTACACAGTGTATACCGAGAAGATGAAGAGTAACACTGGTTTAGTGGTTCCTGCCCACATGAACCACATAAAAAGAAAAAAGAACAGCAGGGTGATTTCAGATAAGATCGACCAAAGGGTGGCTGGCTGACATTTTTAAATCAACTGATGTTTTTATATGCTATTGTCTAGTTTGTCGACGTTTAGCGCACTCAAAAGCTGTCGTTCAAGCATTCACACACCCAAAGAACACTCCTTTCACACAGCTGAGCGCTGTGTGAAAGGAGTGTTCTTTGGGTGTGTGAATGCTTGAATGACAGCTTTTGAGTGCGCTAAACGTCGACAAACATGAGCAACCAACTCGCCCAATCTCAAGTTCTCACATATTGTCTAGTGTCTGGTATAAACAAATCCAAACTTAGTTTTGAGCAGAAAAACTATTTGGGGACAGCAAAAATTGTAAGGCATGAAGAGGTGGACAGTTGCATTAGCGCGCACTGATGGAGGGGGCACGTTTAAGACTGAATAACTGAAACGATAACATTAGGAGAATTCTTATACTTTTTAGACGCAAACTATGGCTACAGATTGCTTGTAATATAAAGTAATAATATTTATTTAAATTTCATTTATTTTTCTAAAAATTGCCACACATGCCTCCTCGATTGACAAGTGGCAAAATTTGGAGGCCTGTATCTCATGAAATAATTTACTAATCATTATTATATAAATTGCAGCTAGTATTTTACTTATATATGGCTATTATTTAAAAAATAAATAAGGTATCTGAGTGATACGATAGTAAGGATATATTTTGGCAAACATGAGAAAAAAATCAAACAACGAAAAATTCCGATGGGAATAAAAAGACACCACCTTCGATTTTTTTTTAAATTTGGGTACCCTGTTATACTCTATTTCGGCATTCATTTCTATTAAAAACATGTTGCATCATTTTATTGACAAAGACGAAACAACTCCCCAAAGTAGGGTCCTTTTTCAAAGCCTACACTTAGCAGTGCCCTATATAAGAAGTGACTCTGAGTTCCAGTTCCATGAAACTAACACACATCTTTTATATATTTTTATTCAGATGAGGCCATTGATAACCATAGGAATCGTTCACACACTAAGATTGAGGAGAAACTACTGTGTACAAAGATATTACAAAGTAGTGATACGAGAAAAGATCCTGCAGCGATCGGCCACTGGGAACTTTGTTTACTTTATTTTCCTAAGGCACTGTATGCTCCTCTCAGTTACCCTTTATCTCGATCTCTCTCTCTTATATATATCCCTGACTTATATCTAGAATAAAAACATATTCAAGCATTTCCTTTCTGCGTGATAATGTTCTGTGGCCTAGCAACAATCCTTTCCTCGTGAAGATCACGATTATGGTGCAATAGTTGGCGGAAGTAGCAGGCGACACTCGTCGCTAGTTCTAGCAAAACGGCCGATACAATCTTTTCTTGCATTTCCCCGCTCGCTGTCAAGGATGAGGGGGTTTGCTTCAACGAGCAAAATATGGCCGCCGGTGCCTGCTTACTGAGCAGTCGTGGCTGTCGCCATCCCACTCGCTGGCGTCACGGGCAATAATATCAGGCACAAAGAGGCACACCGACAGAGAGCGGAACCCCCGAATACTCGAGCCCTGCCTTAATACAATAGAGCGTAAACACTGTCGACATGTTAACGAAAGGTTCACATGGCAACAGTGTCTACGTTTTAGGTAAGGAAAAGCATGTCGTGTGGTACGAGCCGGATTCTTACACGAGGTGCAAGGTGAGCCCCGAGAACGTGTCTGCTGCCCTTGAGTACTTCACGAAAGACAAGCTACAATGTTTGCGCCGAGGTCCCAACTAGAAGGACGTGATATCTGTCATGCTCGACGGGGAGAAAACGTTTGTGCCAAAGCGCTTCCTGACACGCTCAATCCGAGAGGCCTTTTGTGTATACAGAAAAAAACATCTGGATCCGGCGTTGGGCTAACGAAATTTTATCCCTTGCGCCCTACATGGGTCAAATGTACCTATTCCACACCAGGAAGCGTGCGTTTGTGTGCGCTGCACCAATTACAGTCTAAGCTCGTTATAACAGATCTTGATTTTGACCAGGATTTCGGTCTGTTGTAAAAGGAGTATGTTTAGGGTTGTTCGTTTTCGGGTAAAACCCGATTTTACCCGATTTTTACACTCCGAACATGATTCAGGAGAATCGGGTTAAACCCGATTTCTCCCCGAATTCCACAACCACATAACCAACCTATTTATTTTTACGCCGCACGGAGTCTGCGGTGCACACACGCTAGCTACCCTGCCTCGGGACAAGAGTGCTCTATAGTTCATTTCACAAGCTGCGTGCTGCACTATGGACGCTACACGACTCTCAACGAACTGCCCAGCAAGCGCGCCTAACTCACCGTGACATTCTACGGAGGCTGGTTGAAGAAAAGCGACAATAGGCGTTGGGGCCTCGGGGGGACATTTCCGTCCCCCCCGCTGTGCAGGCGGAACCGCCTCGGCACGCCATCTAGCTTCAGCCCTGCTGCACGCAGCTTGTGAAATGCACTATCGATCCCCCTTCGACCGCTGAGGTGTCGACGCCCAGCAGGGACTCTCGAGTAGCATGGCCATCGCGCTGGCGTCCAAAATTTCTCACGAACAACGTCTGAACCAGTCAGCCGCGTAAACAGATCGGGAAAACTTAACAGGTTTATTCCATAGTGAAATATCTGATCGAAGACGACTATCTTCGATCAGAGAGGAGGATTCCGTGGGTGGTGCTTCCCTTGAAGCGACAGACGGCAATCGGAGCTAGAAAACACTGATGTCCCCCCAATAACCAGCTTGAAACAGACCCCTAATTTTAACGCGTTAACGTTACGAAACTCGTAATACGCACCAATAAAAAAAAAGTATTATTGAGTACATTTGTAAATTTAACCCGAAAAAAACCCGAATTTCAGAATGTTTGCACAAAAAACCCGATTTCTTTCCGATTATCAGTTTGAAAAATAGCACCCGATTTTCACCCCCCGAATTTAAAAAAATATAAAACCCGAAAACGAACAACCCTAAGTATGTTGTATGCAGATATCAAGTCGAGTCAATGGTGCATAGAGGAAAAACAACCGAACCTCACAAATCAGTATGTTATATCCAAATGACTGTTCTAACCAGGTCTGTTATAATGAGCTTAGACTGTACTACTACTACCTTTGTATTGCTGCTGTAGAGAACGTTACAGGCTCAACATTCAATACTGGTGAAATGATCTCAGCATTTCTGTGCAACCCACGAACAAGTCTGCGTCTTTAAGGAGACTGTGATCACTGCCCAAAAGGCCAGTCTCTTACACTCGAGGAACTTCATATCCAAGAGGATGAAGAGATTGTGCTTACAACACGGAAGTCCGGTGACCTTGTGAAAAAAACATTGAATCCTGAGACTTTCCAAAGTCGTTCAAGTAATGGTTGAAAGCTGGATATTTCACAACCATATTTGACAAACGCAAGATAAAGCGATCTACGATGAAAAGCAGTGCATGCAACGCGAGAGCATTGTCTTTCATTCTGACTTTGCTTAAAACTGGACCATTGTGCTTCCTGACAAAGTTAAAGCATACCATTGAAGAAAAAAAGTTACGATATCTACATGTGTAGTCACGACAAGAAAATCTACAAACAGCGTTGCTATAATCAGTGAGGACCTATGTGACGACGTCGCTCTCACGTGCTTGGCTCTAGAAAAAGTAAAATGACAGCATCTCCACGTGGTAAATCATGTTGATTGGGGCGAAGCTCTGGTGGTGCTGATGATACTGATTTTGTTCATAGGTAGTGCGGATGGTGCTGATTTGTTTTATTGCTCATAGGTAGTGCTGAGTTCTGGGTTGCGTTTCGACTTCACTATTACTGCTTTATGGTTGGTGAAATGCAGAGCCAGTGGTTCTAGCGGATCAGCTTGGATCCGCTAGAAACCGTGGGAACGCATCTCCACCACTTAAGTCAACGGTCCATGTCAGAAAGAGAATGTCTGGTATGGATCGTGCTTACCTATATACACAGTTGAGCATCTGACCGCAGCGCCCTCTCGTCTATAACGTTGAGCCAATGCATGCAAAGTTTAACGCAATTATATACGCTTTTGACCGCAGTGCCCGCTCCTGTATGGACGTTGAGCGGCTACATGCAACGTTTCATCCATGACATCCCCCAGCTCTTGAGTTACTACCACATCTCAGAGCCCCCTACTCGTCCCGCAGTCGTGGCCAAGTGGTTAAGGCAATGGACTAGAAATCCACTGGGGTCTCCCCGCACAGGTTCTAATCCTGTCGACTGCGCAAAACATTTTTTAATTTTTTTAAGAAGACAGATGGAATGGCAATCGATGTGAGCACGGACGCCGGACGAACAAGGTTAGACCCTAAGGAGCTTCGCCCCTAAAAGAGTGGGTTGAAGACAATGTTGCGGTATATTCGCACATGACATACGTAAGTGACGGGGCCGCCAGTCATATTAAGAATTGCTACCAGCTTCACCAGCTTGCACAGAATGATTGCCCACAAGCCCAGTGGTTATTTTCTGCACCTTTGGCGCTGGCGGACCCGTGAAGCACCAGGCCACGCTGAACAACCTGATGAGAACGTTAAATACACGCAATTCAGACAGCCCGGGACAATGGTGAGCCTACTATTTGAGAAACTGGGTGCATCTTGCGTATCTGGACGAAAATGAGCTTGTTCGGTATCGTCAACAAGAAAAGAAGAAGAGTGGCTGACGGTGCACGCCTTTCCTGGCATTCAGTCTTGGCATGCGTGGCGGCTGTGCAAGTCATCAACAGAAGGAACCTGTGACATATATGTAGCACGGACAGTCGGATCTGGTTAGAAATACATAACTAACCTAAAACATTTTAGTATTCTCTTCATTTTTGTGTGTGTAAGTAAAGTTGTATCTTTTATTTTAAATATAAATTATACCGGAAAGTAATACTTCACAATGCATCACCTTTTCTCGAATCACTAGTCTCTAATATGATACCTCTTAGTACGCTGTATGTAAAATGCTGTATATAGTTTCTCCTCACTTTTAGTGTGTGGCCGATTGCTCTAGTTGTCAGTGACCTCATCTGAATAAAAACATATGAGATATGTATGTTAGTATCCTGAAACTGAAGCTCAGAGTCACTTCTCAAATAGGGCACCGCTAAGTGTCGGCTTTGAAAAAGGACCCCATTTGGGGAGTTGTGTCATTTTTCTCAATAAAATAATGCAGCATGTTTTTAATAGAAATGAATGCCTAAATAGAGTTTGACAGGGCACCCAAATTTTTAAAAAAATCGAAGGTGGTGTTCTTTTTTATTTATTTGCATCGGAAGTTTTTGTTGCTTGATTTTTTCCCATGTTTGCCTAAATATATCCCGACTATCGTATCACTTAGACGCCTTATTTATTTTTTAAATAGCTATGATATGATATGATAATCATTAAATTATTTCATGAGATACAGGCCTCCAAATTTTGCCTTTTTGTCATTCGAGCAAGCATGTTTGGCAATTTTCAGAAAAATAGATAAAATTTAAATAAATATTATAACTTTACATCACAAGCAAGCTGTACCCATAGTTTGTTCTTAAAAAGTATTAGAATTATTCTAACTTTATCCTTTTAGTTATTCACTTTCAAATGTGCCCTCTCCATCAATCAGTGCGCGTTAATGCAACTGTCCGCCTCTTCATGCCTTACGATTTTTCCTGTCCCCAATTTTTTTTCTGGTCAAAACTAAGCTTGGATTCATTTATACCATACACTAGACAATAGCATATAAAAACATCAGTTGATTTAAAAATGTTGACCAGCCACCTTTCGGTCAATCGTATCTGAAATCACCCAGCAGTCAAGACAATGTAACCAGGAATAGTCCCAAGTTACTCTCACCTAATACTGCTCATACTGTTCCTAGTTTGCTAAATCACCTCCAAACTTACTACCATAAAGAAATAAGAGCTGTGGAAATCCAATATTTAAATACATGTTGCTGAAATTCGTATACTCAAGGAAGAAGTAAAGACTCTGATGAGCTTTGTGCAAAATTCAAAACAGGAAAAGCGCAGAAAACACCCTCTTTCCTGCAGATATTTTCAGTTCTACATGCCAAAGCCTGCCCATCTACTCTCCCACAGAACATAAGGGGCACATACTGCTGCCACTTAGAGAAGGAGCAAATTATATGGCACAAATATTCAGACCCAAGCCCATGCTAAGACACTCAGCACAATATTCATGTCTTTGCAATCCAAGTGCAGATTATATTTTCAAGATCCCAACATTATACCAGCGCCCCATCAATCGCTGCTTTTCTTCTTTAAACGACAACAGACTTCTGTATGCCATTCATACTTGGGTAGTAATTTAATTACAGTAATTAAATTACTGTAATTTAATTACTTTTCCTGGTAATTTGTAATTTTAATAATTACTTTTGGCTAAAAGGAATTGTAATTGTAATTTAATTACTTTCTAGCGTCAGTAATTGCTAAATTTCATGCACAATTACAATTACTTTTGCAAGATTTTGCGGCGGCAGCGCTTTTCCTTCCTGGCCACGGAGACGACAGTACAGCCAAAGCGACAGCGGAGAGACTGTATCCCAACCTGCTCAAAAGGAAGGAAAGGAGGAATGGGAAAGAGAGGCTGGGATAGAACGAAATGACGGATTTTGCAGACTGTAAAACGATTTAATGAAGAATTTGAGAAATAATTTGATAAATGAGGGCTGCATTCGAGTCCGTTTTCCTTCCTGTCGTAGTTGAATCTGACTCTTCGTCTCGTTTGCTTCCTGTTGCTCCTGTTTCTAGGGTTCTTTCTTATTTCTCATTCCCACACAGGGGCATCGGGGGTCGAAGTCAAGCTGGTTGGCTCCGATCATATCATCCGGTCGAGGCGGGAAGGTTCGAGGTTCTCCTTACGCGTCTTCGCCGCTAGCATATTCGCTTACATATTTCAGTCAAGTTTGGGGACTTTTTTGTGCATGAAATTATTCTCCTTTCTTTATGAATTTTTCACGTCCTTCTCCTCTATCTCGTATGTTGGTACCACTAAGAGTGAATCGTGCTACCGTGCTACTCTAACATCGAGGCGAAGAAGCAAAGAGGCAGCAGGTCTCATTAACACAATTCACACAGCCTTACTTCCAACTGTTGTTGCTACACTGATTTTCCTTCTCCCAATCCTCGTCTACCGTTTTGTATAAATCTTCATTATTTAGTGTTCGCTCAACCTAACCCTTTCAGCCGTTTGTCAGCCTGATTGGACGAAATTCCAAAACTTACAAACCGCGGCTTTAGACTGTAGGGAGCTTGTTTTTACATGTGTTGTTCGTTAAAGGCTTTTTTTTTTTTTTTATAGAGGGCTTGGCTTGCACTTTGTTTTTACACCTCTATCGTGACCCTCCAGGGGTTATCCTCTTGTCCTGGCCTGTGGAACCGTCCCGAGGCGCGCAGTGCTGCTTTGCATTGAGAACCAGCAATTCTTATCTACAATGGAAAAGGAAAGGCTGCCAGGGCCTTGTTACGAAAAATTCTTTTAACAGATTAGCAGCAATGTAAAAAATATAATCCTGAGGTGCAAACTCTCCGCACCGTCTCTGAAAATAAATTCAACAAACCGAAAGGCGAGCTCCAATTTCCGGAAACATTTGCAGGTAGGCAACTTTTTGTCACTTTCAATAATACTTACAGTTACAAATAAAATATTAATGGCTCGTCTATATCTTCCAACTCAAACACGCTCAAGTAACTCATGAAATCGAGGCGTCCAAGAGGCCGCAGTTTTAGAATAATTCTCGGATTCTAATTTTCGTAACGCGGTGGGGTCGCAATATAGATTCCAGTGTGTTTACATTTTACCGGAATTGCTCGCGGGACTTATATTTTGCGAATTGTAGGCGATTCGCGAAACTCGCGAAAAAAAAGTCGTTTACAGTGTATCATCAACTTTTCGGGGTTGTTCTTGCCATGCTAGATTCAAATTGGTCTTCTTTGTGAGACGCATAACATCGATACAATCATTGCTATCCTTACGATTAGCTACATGACGATACTAAATTTATTATCTATCTCAGGAGCTTTTTGGGTGTTACCGTGCACTGAATTAACTCAGAATCTCTGGCAATAAAGTTGCTGCTATTGTGACACTAGTCTTTTGGAAGCGACCAGAGTTCGCGTGCTACGGTTACCCACATCCGACATGTTACAAGTCCACAGACAGGGAGAGGTAGCGAATCATCGTGGCTGAAATGTTTTCGTAAGTTGTCGTATTCTTTAAATGTTTGACGTCGTTTACAAGTTTCTCTTACTAGCCATTTTTACGTGAGTTTTATGATGCCAGTACTGCCGCATATTTGTTTCCTTGTATTATTTTTTAAGTTTATTTTTGTTGGTTTTACTTGGATACCATTTGCATAAGCTCTAAGGAGATTCACCTCGCACCTGTGAATTTTGTCGGCATTTATTCTTTTATTTTTTGAAAATATAAGAACGCAGGAGTTCATTACTCCAAAATATTAAGTTCTATAATCCATTTAACAAATTTCATAAAAGAAAGTACAATGCGTGACATTTATACAGCGGCCATATAACTCGTTTACAGTTATATGGCCCAAGGTGGGCAACTCTCACAAATAAGTAATTGTAAAGTAATTGCATTACTTTTAAAAAGTAATTTGTAATTGTAATGAACTACTTTCGCGCAGTAGTAATTGTAATTGTAGTTAAACTACTTTGGGAGCTAAGTAATTGTAATTGTAATTAAATTACATTTTGAAAGTAATTTACCCATGTATGATGCCATTACACGACAGTAGATGCATGAGTTATCTCTAAATTCGGTCCTACAAAAAAGAACAAGACTTATTAAAAAAAGGCCAAGAAACTAAACCTAACCTCAGAAAAAACAATAAAAAAAAAATGCAAAAAAGATTTTTTTTTTTTTTTTTTAAATATTGCACAGCCAATGAGTGTGTGCTTTCCAGGCTGGCTGCAGCTGAGGCAATCGGGTCGAAGTCAGAGACATTTCTCCCCTTTGGGAAGGGAGGAGTACTATGTCAATCCGGTAGTATACTCTCCTTCCTTTCCCCCATAGCAAATATCTGCACAATTTATTGCATGCACAAACAACTAGAAACATTAACCCCCCCCCCCCCCCCAAAAAAAAAAAAAAATCCAGCATTTGTTAGCCAAGTAGGCATCTAGCCACACCTGTCATCTTATCTTCACACACTACAACCGGAATAAGAAAGGCTCTTCGGCAAGAAACGGGTTGTACGACCCAAGGGCAAACAATGTCTTCATAATGTGAGGCTAAACAGGTCCAAGGTTTTCTTTTTACTTCTCTTACCTTAAAATGCAGGTTACCTCAGAGAGCCCCCTCAATGGAATCGGAGTTAATTTCCAAGTGAACGAGGGTTTTGCCAAATTTTTAGAGGCTCACCTTTCGTGGGCTTTTGAGGTCATCCTTCGGAAGGGCACTGAGTGACTGGGACCTCCGTTTTGTGGACGGAGGCACAATTGCTGTTGGAGAATCCGTGGTGTCGAACACGTCATCATCACCTTCCTCTTGATCGGTGCCTGAGGGAGTCAGTGAGGGCATTCATTGAAAGGTGCATTTCATTCAGCTGCAACGTACCTCCAGTACTATAGGTGCCCTCTCTCACATTGAATAGCAGCTGTGAAGCTGTGGTAGGGCTTTGTTGACCAATATGGCCTCCGTAAATGTCTCATTTACAATGGTAACTCAATGGCTATCCTATAGCCATCACAGTAACACTTAGACCTTGACAGACAAATTAGACACCTTCTTAATTGATGATTGGCAGGGTTGTACCAAAGCAACCAGCAGCAAGCAAGCGCTGCTTAAAGCTGATGAACATCTTTTCGCATAGAACATGTTACAGGGCAGGCTACGTAGGGAAATACCAACAAAGTCAAAAGCCAAAAGTAACACAAAAAAAAAAACACGGAAGTGACGTCATCAGTGTGACATAGTAAAATGACCACCGTGCCACTAACTTTGGCGGGCAATTTAGCAGGTTTCATTGACTCGGTGCATCTCGAATTTTAGTAACCGTTGCAATAGCATCACCGTCGCAGCAAGACAATCATGTGACCATACATGCTTTGCACGTGACATCACGGCATCGTACCAGCTGCCATATCTTTGTATTATTCTCCTCTGCTTGCAACTTCTGGGGCATACATTTGGAACCATTGACAACGCCTGCCAAGAAGAACAAACAATGGATGATGCGCCGTCAATGCAAGCCATGTATAGCGACAAACAATAATATTCTCCTCAGAAGTTGTAATACTTGTCCCAGTATGCGAGACAATTGCGCCAAGATTCACCAATGCAAAAAGGTATTCTATGTATGAAGATCTTGACGGGTATGAGCAAAGAACTGCCGCAACGTTTTTCAGATTGTAATTATAGTACAGCAAAATGCTACAACAAGTTCCCATCTGCTACTTTTTTCTTTTCATCTTTTTTTACACCCTTTGGGAGTGGAATCCAGTACTACCCACAAAAATGATAAATAATTGTGAAAGCTTCTTTGTATAAATGAAGCTTTTGTTAGTGACAATGAACCCTTGTATGATCCTGAAGGTATTGTAATAAATAAACCAATGAATCTCCATCGTCTAAAATGTCGCTGTACCGCAAGTGAGGGAGGCAGCACGGTAGGGGACACTCATACAGATCGCTTGTACGCATATAATCCTCTTCGTCCCATTGTCTGAAATGGATATTTCAACACCAGTTTAAAGCTGACCTACAAAATCATTTTCTGTAGGCTAAGAAGATTCTCATCACTTTTTCCATTTCCCCTTCTCCCACTGGTATCTGGACTGTGGAGGACTCCTTTTGTTGCTGCACCTTGGCTGGATACGCCAGGAGCTTATCAGCGAGTTCTCTCATTACAAAAAAACACAAAACTCGGTCGTAAGCAAACACAAGCGTGCGAAAGGGCCTTTAAGTTCTCTTACGTGAATGGGCCTTTAGGTGCTTTTCCTACTCTGGCAAAATAACACCAAAGAGATCTTTTGCCCGGGTAGTGGCGGTCGGCCGAGCGCAGCCATCAGCACGATGCACAAACGCAAGTGCAAACAGGCCTTTAGGTGCTCTTCCTATTCGGGCAAAAATCAAAATCGAATTTGGGGGTTTTACTTGCCAAAGCAACGACGGGCATCTGGCATGCCCCAGCAGAGGACTGAGGATTAATTTGGACCACCTGGGGATCTTTTGACGTGCAACCGAAACCTCGGTTACACGGCGTCTTCTCCGCAATAAGCCTCCGTCAGATTGCGGGCACTTCGGCCGGGATTCAAACCCGCCACATGGGGATCCGTAGGCCGACGCTCTCGCCTCGGAGCCACCGAGCCGGCTTCCTTCTATTCGGGCAAAATAATAACGAACAGCTCTTTTGCCCCAGTAGTGACGGTTCGCCTTGCGAAGCCAGCAGCCCGATGCACAAATGCAATTACGAATGGGCCATTAGGTGCTTTTATGTGAACGGGCCTTTAGGTGCAAGAATGAAATCAGGAAATGCAGCATACCGCCGGCGGCTTGCAGGGTCGTGTCTGGCACGACAGGGGCGGTGGTCACAGTAGGTGGAGCGCTGCTCGGAGGCGACGGATGCGTCCCCAGGAAGGGAACCAAGGAGTGCCACGGAAACACCGGAATGGGTTTGCCGTCGTTCCAGTCTGCGGAGAACCACACAAAAAGTTTGGCAGCGACCTTTAGCTCTGATGTCCTATACTAGCCGAGGAAATGCAGTAGATAAGGAACGACAATTTAAATTTGCTTAGTGGACATTGAACAGTCGTTTTGGGGAGTCAAGAAGAATTTCTATCAATTTCCCCACTAGTTTATTGGGGAAACTGTTGTGGATAGGTCACATCAGGTCAGTTTCTTGCTGTGGGAAATGGATGGACAGACCAAATTTTGGGATTGGGGGTTTTTGCTAAAAAGCTTTTCATGCTTTAATAACTTATGAAATATCTCTGAAGGCATGAAAGTAAACATTTGGCTCCCACTGCTTTTCAGTAAGTGTATCTAAAAAACACAAATACCCGGCACCTCGCTACCAAGCCTGTGGCGCTGCTAAACCAGCTGCTTTTACTCCGTTTTTGTATCCGGCATAGCATCGAAACATTTCACTTCACTGGTGAAAACTCTGAAGTGCGAATGAGCTATTTTTAATTCCAGGAAGCCTCAGTGATCCTGCTACAGTAGAGGTATATTGTTCCCCAAGTTCATGCCATAATCTGCTGGGTCACGTCGAGAGTCAGAGTATACTAGTTTCACGACTTTGATTCTCTGCAACAATAAAGTGTAGCTTTGAATAAAGATATGTTCTGACTTTAGAAATAATACACCTGTTACGGCGCTGAGACGAAAGGCAGGATTTCAGCCATTAAAAAACCAAAGAATGTTCCAGCATCTGAAATTGTTCTTTTCAAATACACAATAACCTTCTTAAAATTGATAAGTTCAAATATGTGAAGCCAAAAAGCTACTGGCTAGATCGCTTATATCACCCAAGAGTTTTAACCGCCATTGATGGCCGTATAAATATTTTCAAGCAGTCATTTTTTGTTCAGGCGGTGGAGTTGTGAAATAAACTCCTGATGGTGTCGTTGCACTGGAAACCCTTTCTGAATTCGAGAATGCCATACGCGTATTATTCGAACTGTAACAGGGTGACGCTTCTGTGTGTATGTACGAGTGCATATTTTTTGGGGTGCACTCCTTAAAGATTGCTATGAATGTTGATATTTGAAAGCAGTGTTGCATTTGATTTCCATGTTTGTACCACCCCTCCTGCCTTGGCCCTTGACAGGGCTGGCAGTATTGTGAAATAACAACAAAAATTGCTCCGCATAAATGGTTTCAAAAAACAATTATTTTCATGCATGCAACCAAGCTTTCAACACAAGCCGTCTTGAAACTGAAACTTCACATGGTACTACTACTGATAAGAACACTACAGCCACTTTCACTGACTTCAAGAAAGATTGCAAGCAACAAGAGGGGGGATTAAAACAGATGATTGTGAGAGATCGACAGAAAAAACAAAATCAAACAGAGGTAATTGATACTTAACACCATTAACGAAGAAAAAGAGGAAGCACAGAAAATAGGTCCTAAAATAGGTTTTCAAAAGGAGCCACAAAAAATTTCAACAGCCGCCCACACATACCTTAACGCTAAATATGACCAACTCTGCTGGTAGCTGGGGTGTGCCAGTTTAAACACCCATTTATAAATTGCCGACAGCAGAATCTTGGGGCCGTGGCCTTCTTAAGCATCATGAAACAGAAGCCCAGTTACTCATTCAATATGGACAAATTGGTGGACTATGGAACTCTGGTTTAGATGTCAACAAAATTACCTGCATCCACTATTAAATGAAGTATTTCTTAATGTTACATTTCACTCCCATCTCAAACTAAAGCCAATCTAAAAAAAAAAAAAATCCATTTTGGGCACAAAAAGAAAACAAAACATGGGCTCTTTATTCACACTCCAGAACACCTCCTCTTTTTTTTTTTTTTTGTTATGAAAGCCCCAAGAGCTGAAATCTTTTTTTTTTTTCTTAACATTTTGTCACATGCGGAGCAAACAAGTGCCAGGGCATCCAAATTGTACACATGTAAAGGTAAACAAGGGTTCATGCATCATGATGCAACTGACTATGTCATTATTACAGAACTGAATAGTTAAAATTACTTCCAGTGGGAAGGGTGCACATTACTGAATACTTGTATTCCAATTGGCAAATCCAGCTGAAGAGACCTAGTCTCGAGACACTAAGTGTGCTTTACTAACTCTGTGTTTATTTCCAAAAAATTAAGTTATAGTGTGAAAAGCCAAGTTTTCATTATGGTGACTATGAAAAGGTCACTTTACTAAATTTTCGGATTGCTATTCTCTACCTAGACCAATGGCACCAAACACCCAAACAACTCAAGATTTTGTGTACAACGAACGAAAGCTCTAAAAAACTGCAAACTTGTAATAAAAGAAATTTAAAAAATTGAAAAACGGTTTGAGTTTGGTTTAAAATTAAACTCAGAATATGCAGGACTCTAGCGTCGTATCACTGGCTCCATATTTTCTTGCAGCCCACAACATTGAAGTGACGTCGAAGGAGATAATTCGAGTATTTGTGCGTTCGTACAGTGTTAAGCAGTGCCACCTGCTTCAGCAAATCTATGATGAAGCCTCTGCACTAGCACCAAAAATAGGCAGCTCTTCAGGAACTACAGCATGGTATTTATGCCTGCCTATGTTTTCACAGAAACGTGAATATCTAAAACAGAAAAGGCATATCACTCGCTGCTTGCAGCAGCCTTCGCTCCCTTTTCTTTAGACACATGCAATGACAACACAAAACTCAGAATATTTAGGTAATCAGTCATCTGCAGAATATAATCCTCAATAGAAACAAAGAAAACCTTGGAACGCAATTTTCAAAACAACCTAAATGATAAAAACCTGAAAACATTTGCAGTCACTGATGTCACGTTCCTCAGCAACGGTCCCCTAATCTGATTTTAATTTTCTCAACAAATGTATGACTCTGTGGCAAAAAGAGAATTAATTGAATGCAATTTTGACACCATATTATAAAGCTGAATGCAAGAAATTTAGTTTTTTGGGGGGTGTCAGGGACACTATAACACCACTATGGGTGAGGTGGGGAAGTGCAAAGACTACCCGGGAGCAAAAAAGACGTTTCTCCTGTCGCGGTCAGTGACGCATGAAGGCTTTACTGCAATGCAGCGAAGTGCAGCTTGGTTGAAATTGCAGGAAGCTATGACATTTAGCCCGAGCAGTATGGCAATTAGCGCTGAAGTCTTTTGCAATGAACCCACTTAACTTCAAACTGTGAGCATGTTGCTGTCAATCTAACTAGCCAGTCTCTCGTCAGATTCCCAAGGCTTTATCACTACCAGCCTTTCACGCCACCGAAAGCTAGGTCGCTAACCAAAGAGCATGTTTCCAGTACTCTGCGTGCTTGACAGTTTTAACCCACCTACCATAAAAAGCTTGGGTTCAACCCTGGACGTCTCTCCTGTTTAAAAGGCGCGTGCCACCAGTGGAGGAAATAAGTATGAAGAATGTACACAGAAGAGGTTCTGACAAAGAGTGAGGGACGACATAAACTACAAATTGGACTCGCCTTCTGAAGTTTCCTGCGAAGTGATTGGTAGCCGGAAAACTGCTACAAAGTAACACTGACAGATAAACTTGCCAATGTCACAAATCTGGCTTTTTTATCGAGTCAAGAGAGAATTAAGTCATTAGTGCAAAATAGCAAAAGCAAGAAATAAGGAATTGCAAAGCGAGTTAAGAAAGAAAGGGTTCATAAATCTGCCATGACTAATAACTCGCACTTTAAGCTTATTCATCTTCCTGCAACAGACACTATAAATGATATTCAGGTTGATTTGTTGAAAAGACCACCACGGAAGGGGAGCCAAAAAAAAAAAAAGGGGGGTTCTCCTCCAAGCACATGCTGTCGGCAACTTCGTTGCATTTGTAACTACGCAGTCTAATGACAAAGGGCCCTGTGAAACATCTGCTTGTTGGAAAAGCCTTGCAACAGCAAACCCCGATTCCTGCCAACTGCTTTTTCGCCTTCAATTGTTGTTTGGAAGGTTCAAAAGGTACTGCACACGCGGAGAGAGGCGAGTAGACACGTCCAGCCCTTTCCCTCCCATCGAGCTACTACACGCCACACAAAGAAAGCACAAGAAAGGAAAGACTTGGCCTTGAGCCCAACATTCACATGCCACATGCTACCCTCGAAAAGCCAGTTCGCTCGAGTAAATACTGCTACACTTGCAGGTTGCTTAAAGATGACTGCTGAACGACCCGAGTGAAAAGAGCAAAGGCGCAAGGACAAAAAAGAGAAAAAAAAAACATAGACATACTAGGTGATTATTTGCTGATAGGCGCATAAAAGCTAAAAGAAAGAAAATGTTTTTGTGCGTATTTTTGACCCATGATAACAGGGCCACGTCAGTCATGCCGTATGCCTCTTTTGCTTTCTGTTATCTTGCTCCGAGAGATGAATAGAAGCTTCGCTATCAACGGGACTGAGTTTGTCAAGTTCTTTCACTCTCATTCCTTTTATTTTCCCCAACTGTATTGTATGACTGCCACTTCAAGAGAAGCTGTATGTAAACTTTGTGACTGGAGTTGCCACAGCACTATAGCAGCTTTTGACATGCACCAAAGCTGCAAACTAATATCAGATCTCAGCCTTCTTTGAGTAAAAAAAAGGGTAATTTGTTATATAATGCTAGTCTTCCCCAAGGGGCATAAAATCTCTTTCCTGCAGATGAGAAATTTAGCCAGTGCAGTATGACCATTAGTCTGGTGCCTCTAATGTGTATCACGCAGTAGCGGTAGACAAATGCATGCTAGTACAATTCTCATCCACATTGAAACGGGCAGAGAAAAGGATCAAATCCAAAATCATGTACCGCAACTTTTCGTTCCACATGCTCCGAGCTGTGAGGGCTAACTTCCAGGGAAAATACTGCCCAAATTATATATGTCACAGGTCAATTGAGAACCTGGCCTTGTTTATTCAACCCAATAAAAATAAGGGTCCATGCCAACATCCACACGTAAATACTGTCACTACAATAGGCCTAATTTTCTGATTTGCGGCTTCGGAACTGCAGGCTCCGAAGCCGCAAATAGGACACTCATTATGACTGGCATCAGTCATAATGAGTGTCTTATACTGCAAACACTCATAATGAGTGTTTGCAGGCACGCAAATAAACCCCATCTATCTATCTATCTATCTATCATTAAAGCAGGAACTGTTCCTCTTTCTAGAATAAATAGAACAAATTGTTCAATTGGTTCTATTCGGGCTCTGAGTGTGCTAGTGCCCCGTGACTTGCCTTGACGGAAAAGGAGTGTATTTTTCTACTCAGATCAAAGAACAACTGCGCCTCCAGATGACTCTGGGAACACGTGTAGTCCTCCTTTTGTGTTGTTTCTTTTCTTGGCTTTTGGGCCGGGCAAATTGTGTATTTACACAGATTGTCAGTGCCAATAAAGCTCAGTTGTAAGTCAGTACTGTGTGTGTCTACTGCCTTCTACTCTGTCCTTGTCCCTGCGCTGTTTGTTTTCCGCTAATATGAGAGGTTAGCTGCAAATTGCCAGTTTGGAAGTTGTTCCTTTTGAGAAGAACTGCCAAAAATACAGAGCGGACATTTAGAGAGTGGTGTCAGTACAACTCGTGTTGTATAGACACCACTGTCTGAACAACTATTGTTTCAAGCCTCTTGCTAAGATAACAAAACCAAAATAATAAACTGAATTAGCAAACTCAAATACCAGATCCTGCCTTCTTAAGCACCCCACAGTTTGCAGTAAAGCTATCAGTAGGGTGTTACGTTTTTGGATAATTTCGATAAAATATTCACAAGTAAACATACTAAAGATTCAAATATCCGAAGAACTCTGAATTTGCGGACAGGCAGAACTTTGTAGAATCCCAACCCTTTGCTATTTTTTTTCTCATTTCCATTTTTGTGCGTGAGCGTCACAAGGAATGTCTTTTTACCCTTTACCAAAAAAATGAAGTGGCGCTCCCACGACAACAGTCGAACAATACGCCTTGCATTGCCCGACGTTCTAGTTAGTCTCTCTTTCCTGGTTTCTTTTCGTTGAAGGTTAATTAACTTGTCGTCATTGGTGACGACAGGGGTCTAAAAGATAGTCAGACTTCAGCACTTCCCCACGATGGGCAGGAAGCAAAAGCTCTCCGATCATTTAAGCCAAAGATTACCTAAACTTTTAAGTGATCTGAAGTGACGACATTATTGTCCTCACGTTTTTAAGTTTTGTTACGTAACAGTTAGCATGGCTAATGGAGAAAGCGTTGTAATTTCGATGGGCATGTTTGCATGCAGAGCTAGTATTGGATGCAGAGCCAGTATCCAGACAGATGTATATATTTAAGTAAATGTATGCTCATTTCAGACAAATAAGTCTATACGGTGAAAGGATTCCCTCTCGTTGCATCATTTACAAAAATGGCTGCTTTAGTGGACTCACAAATAGCTCTCTCTAAGCCAATAATGCTAAACATAAAAAAAAATTCTGGATAAAGAAAAAACAAGGAAATTGTAGAGCCCTTCCCCTTTACGTGAAGATGGAGGACCAGCGAAGCTGTTATCTTTACGTCTAAGACGATGCCTAGAGGACGTCTAGGACGACTTCTAGGATGTCCTAGAGGACGATGTCTAGGACAACCTCAAGGACGGCTTCTAGACTAGGATGACATTGAGGACGACGCCTAGGACGACCTCAAGGACGACTTCTAGGACGAGCTCAAAGACGATGCCTAGGGTGGCCTCAAACGACTTCTAGGACGACTTGAAGGATGACGTTTAGGACGACTTAAAGGACGACCTCAAGGATGACGCCTAGAGGATGACCCCTCGGACGACTTCTAAATCGACCTCAAGGTCGACCCCTAGAACGAGCTCTTGGACAACCTCAAGGACGATGCCTAGAAATGATTACAAGGGATCAGGACCTCACTATCCAATACAGTGTTTCTCAAATGGGGGTCCGCAGATGCTTCGGGGTCCGCGAAGGCATTCTAGGGGTCCACGAAGCCGTCCCTCGTCAATTGAGCCAGGCAATAAAAGTTGTCTTTTATCCGACTGAGAAGCAGCATTCCAACTTTCGGGTGAGCTTTCTCATGTATATGTAGCAAAGTAGATTCATGATCAGTATATACAGCGCCAAAAAACGACAGGACAAAGACGAGAGTAAACAGGACGAGGCGCACTCGTATATGTCAGAGACAAGTCTATGTCACACCAGCCCTTAGTAATATCCGCTTAATAAATCATCATAATTAACCTATACCTTTCCCTTCCCCTAACATTGAACAGGGTCCTCCATCATCTCCGCCGCTCCACAAGGGGTCCGCAAATCATCAATGGCTGAGAACCACTGATCTTATAATGCCCAGGAAGGCTGACTCAAGCTGGTTGCCCCCTCTTTTTGTTTTTACTTATTCATACTTGACCCCTCTTTTTGTTTTTTATTTATTCATACTTGCCACGATTAATGGGGGGTTTTCTGTTGACATGTGAGGAGGCATTTTTTTTCTAGACACCAGCATATAGCAGCTTTGCTGTAAAAACCTTAGATTCTGTTTAAAAATGCACTCCAAAAAGTAGGACCCTATACATTGTTGCAGTTTAAAAAAAGCAGGACAAGTTCTTCTTCCACTCTTTCCACCTGGCACAGTAAAGGATCAAGAGGAGGCAAAAGTGGAAAGAGTGGAGAAGGAGCTTGTCCTGCTTTTCTCAAACAGAAAAAGGGTATAGTTAGGATGCCACATTTCAAAATAAATTTTTAAAAAATTTATTTTTTGGTTTTTAAGTTGTTTTTAAAAAAAAAGCTTTTATGGAGAATAAAGAGTAAATAAAAAAAATCTTACGCCAAATTAGAATGATGCATTCCAAGCAGGCATGAAAGATGTACACAAAGCTGCAAGCCTAACAACTAAGATGCCCCAGAATAAAACAACAGCTGGGAAAGCACTTACTTCCCCCACTGGAATCGAGAACTGCCTCTTCCTTGTCGGGCTCCCCATTGGCCACTACGACGGGCATCACGGGCAGCAAGTGGGCCGGGCTCGGATGGTGCTGCATGTGCTGCGATGTCTGCAAGGCGACCGCGGCCACCTGTCCGTTGATGCTGCCACAGGCCTCTCGCTCTGGACCCTTGACCGCTCCGGGCGCCAGCTGGATTGTGCCGTACGTCGGCATGTCCCCGAGACTGGCCCTGGCACTCCCTTGCAGAGCCTGCTGCAGGAGCACCATCTGTGCTGCCGTCTGCTGTTCGCTCAATGCGGCTGCCGTCTGCAACTTGTGGGCCACAGCCTCGGGCAGCGAGTGCTGGATGACCGAGACCGGCTCCGAAGTCTTCACCACTCTCGGCCGGTGAACCACCACCGCGGTCGGCCGGAACTTGGACTCTGGAGACAGCACAGCCGGATCGGGAGGCCAAAGGGACGCCGATGCGTGCCTGATGGGGGCAAAAAGCTCGGGCCTTCCGGGCGGACTGGCCGAAGAGGGCGTTGCAGACCGGGAGTTCCCCAGTGAGACCAGCATGTTGGCCGCCTCCGTCTCGTCCAAGTCGAAGCGGCCTTGCACGCGACTTCCGCCGCGGTCACCAGGACTCGTGTCACTCTCCCGCGACGACTCTTCCCACTCGCGGCCGGAGCCAAGCCGTCCGGGCTGGAAGGGGTGCTGCTGGGAAGAGCCCGGTTTCCGAGGGGCGCCATTGCCACTGGCCTTACCCTTGAGCGAAAGGTGTCGCGAGCAGTAGCCTCTGCGTTGCGACTCTTTGGTACAGCCTTCCTTGGAGCAGAGCCGCCGCCACTGCTTGCCATTGAACTTCTTGCGGATACCGTTCGGTGTGGATACAATGTCTCCCTTCTTGTACTTCTGTTGAGCAGACGCAGCGGATGCTGGCGACCGCGGCGTTAGCACGCGCATCTCCGCAGACGAGGAGGTGGCCAGGCGCGAACGTGGGGTAAGGTTGTTGTTGTCGCGACAATAGTTGGGACGAGACGGGCTCGGGTTAGGGTCGAACTCAATGCGCCCCGTCTTGAGGTCGTCGTCCGAGGAGTCGTCTTCAGCGTTGGTCGGGGAAGAGCTGCCCAGGGTTAACTTGCGGATGCGCTGGGCCGTCAGGAGTTCACTCGAGGACCGGTCGAGGTCAAACGGGATTAGCATCGGCACAGGCAGCGGGCGGTGGACGCTCTCCGTGATGACTGAGACGTTGTGTGAAGGCAATGCCCCGGGAGGCATCACCGCACCCATGCCGTCCTCGCATAGGTGCACAGGAGGGTTCAGCATGTGCGGCGGCGGTTCGCGCACAGTGAAGAGTGGAGACACAGACTCCAGCTCCTCCCTCCAGGGGGGCTGCTTGAGGCGCAGCCCCGCACGAGGCACCGACAGCGTATCACTCATCACACAGCCGGGTCTCCTAGGGAAGCGGACACGGTACTGGACGGGGGGACGCGACGTTATCTCCACCACCACTCCCTCGGCGTAGACTGTCTCTTCGACGCGCACACACACATCCATCCCAACAGAGACCTGTCCCAAAGACGGACTGTGGTCGCTGATGATGTCCAGGCGAGCCGAATCAAACACATCCTTTATGCAGAACAGCTGCCGCTGGCAGCTGTCCACCTGGACCACCACGTCCCGGTCGCCCGCAATGTCTTTTATCACTGCCGGCTCGTACACGTCCCTGAGACGCACCAGCACGCGCTGACCCTTCCAGTCCCGCAGGTCGACGGCCGGGGCGAGGTCCGCCGTGCTGCTTCCCTTCCGAACGCCATACGGGGGGTCTACCTCGGCAAAGTCAAAGTCAAACTTGCGCTTCTTCGGCAGCTTGCTCGCAGCCTTTTTTAGTTCGTCGTCCAGCCTTGACTCTTCCTCCTCGTATCCCGACTCGGCCGACTTCTTGCGATGCAGAGAGCTAATGTCCAACTGTTGAACCACAGTTGGTCCCTCGAGCAGCAGCTTCTCCTCCGCTTTCCTTTTTAAGTCCAGGGAGCTTTGGTAGGAACTCGTGACTCCTCTATCCATGGTTGTGGTAGACTGGCCAAACTAATACAAGCAGAACGGGCCAGTGTCTGTAGTATGGCGGGCTTCTCCGAAGAAAATTATGTCCTTTCTTCGGAAGGACTTGAAGGAACAGAGTCGGCTGGTTTCCAAGGAGCGGGGGCTACAGACCTTACAGCTGGGCTGTGGGTTTTTCATGGTGGCTCTCTAATTTCTGGCATTGCCATGAATATCCAGCAAGGAACAGGTTTTGACCTGGCAAGAAAAAGTAAAAAATGTAGCAGCAGGACCAACTACCAGTGCCACCAAACTCGATCCAAAACAATTTGATGGTGCAATGCGAGCAAGGAATACCTGCTGATCACAAGACACAAAAACATAGTAATGTCAGAACAAATGTCTGTGACAATGGGCGATATGCATCAGCATATATATACCGGACAAAGAGATGTAACACTCATATTTTACATAATTAAGTATATAATGTTTCCCAGATGACCTCGAAGAAAACTATACTGTCCGATTCCTATTCCTGTATTTTCGCAACTTTCACGACCGACAGGGGGCGCACTGGCTCCTATCAAAATGACTGCCATCTGGATGATCATTGTAGAACAGCAGTACGAGACTGGGTCTGCGACGTATTAGTAATTCTAGTTTTGCTATGTATGAGCAATATTAGAGCCTTGCTTTATTCTGTCAAGTCGGGAAGGTGTAGGCAAGCACCTTTATTGTGAAGGCAACCATTTAGGAGCTAGGGAGCTCGATTCTCACACCGCAGTACCACCATCGCTAAACATGGCGAATAGGAGACGACAACTGATAAACAATGGCAAATAACATTGCAAAGTCAACTGATAAACAATGGCAAATAACATTGCAAAGTCTACATGTCTTTTCCACACACACACATAAAAGATATATATATATATTATTACTATTATATATATATATATATATATTCTCTTTGTCCCGTAATTTGGCAACGCTATAGAGGCTGACCTATCGCTCCACAGCCTTAATTTCGCACGGTACAGGTGGTAGTTCGGGGAATAAACGAATGACGTCACGCATATAAGTCATATGGGTACATCAAATTCAGGTGTGATTAAAAACGTTATTAGTGAATTAGGAGAGCGCTTCATTAATACTTTATAGTACAATGGTATGCAGCTTTCTTTCTTTGCACGCAGACAATATATAGAGAAATTCCGAGCTGAACGGAAAGTTGCGCGATCCATGACAACGAACTATGAACTTTTCTGTAGACCTTTCACAGGACCGAGCAACGCGCAAAACAATTTTTCCGAGTGCCGATTGCAAATGTTTACAACGTTTAAATTGCAATGTCCGGCGCAAAAGGAGACGGTGACACCGCGATCGTGCGGCATAACCGACCATTTTCACCGCACTCTTACACAACCAGTCCACAAAAACAAACAAAACGCACGCAGGGGCAGGCACCGACGAAGTAACCAAAAACAAAAAGCAATGTAGACCAACAGCTGAGAAAACAGTCTCGCACGCCTCGCGACCGAAACACTGGCAGCCCGTGTGGTAGCAGCACCAATTTACTGAAAGTGACATGTTGTCGCGAACAGCGAAAACGGACCGTAACGACGGGACGCCAGCTAAGTTTTCAGAGATCCGATATGGCTTTCTCAGCAAGCGTCAGGCGCGGGGGGGTGCAGGCTCGCGATTCGCGAATGCCCAGCTTCGGCCGATGCAGCTGCAAATATGGTCAATGCACCGCGTCCAGCAAACATGCCACGACGCGCACACCAGCCTCCCGACCCTCTACTTGAGTGCAATAATTATCTGATTACAAGAGCGTAAACACGAAGCAAATGTCATCACAGGCAGCAAGCGAAGCAACCGCGCACAAATGACACACGGGCCCGTACACGGATGACACTCGTCGCAGTTTGCAAAACCTGCGGGCGCTCACCTTCATGAATGCCGGTGTCAACTAGTGTCCGGAGGCCATCAACGCGTGAAAAACGCCGCAAAAGGGAAATTCTCCGCTCGCGTCCAGCAAAACCAAGCCCTGCAAAAATGGTGAATGAGTAGTTACCTAGTACTGTGCAATGGCACGATTGGCCGAACCGCGTCACGTGCCCCCCCATAGAAAGAATTTCTGTGATCCGATTGGTGGCGGTCGGTGCACCCACGGCTCTTTCACATTGTTTATTCGCTGCACTCGCACCAGCCGAGCAAGGTAACCCTAATTGGTGCACTCGCCCGCCATGCCCCGAGCCTTCGCGCTGGTGCAACAAATGGCCATTGTCATGCTGGCGACGTTGCAAGTGCAGCGTGCTAAGACGCAGCAAAGAGCAGCGCGGATCGACGCCTCACCTTGGCGGCTCGCAGATTCCATGCCCAGGCTTTGTGCGGTAACAGCATGTGCACGCAGGAAACCCTGACGTCACCTACTACGGCCAATGAGCGAGAGCGAAGCCATATGGGCGATATTTGGTGCTACTCGCGAGGGTTGATGATATCACGAACTCCTTTCCAAGGGTAAAGACATTTGCCTATTTATTTTTTGACGCTGTTTGGCTTACTACGTTCGCGGTGACGCACGGCTCGCTGCTACGGTTACTACCTCGCGATGCGTGCTCGGCGTGCTGCTGCGGTCGACGGCTGCGACGCTGTGGCGGCTGGAGCTGTGGAAAGTCGCTGGGGATGGGTTTGAAAGTTGAAACGTTCAAACGTAGAAAGAAAAATAAAAGAGAAAGGACGAACGAACCGTTGCCGCAGGCAGGGAAACATGTCGAGGAATCTCCGCCGAAGGTATTGTTTGCGAGACAGCATCAAGTAGTCGCGCTGTGAGATCGCATTATTTCGTCGCTGCGTCGGTTCTGATTTCATGGAAAGCGGCGCATTAGGGGGAATCGGGTTTACTTCATCTGTTGAGACACGATAGGAAACAAGAGTGTCGACTTGCACTCGTTCCCGTCGGAAGAGAAAAGAAAGAGGAAATGAATCTTTCCAGCGTGTAATGGGTGTGGCAGTACAATGTGTACTTGTGAATCGATGTGAAACTTCACATGGGAAGTTTACATGACGGAAGACTTGCGCGCTGTCCTACTATTTATCAACAAGCTTATTCCAAACGCATACTTGGGGCGAAAATTTCATTTAAACGTCATCATACGGCACCTTGCAGTAAAAATGACCCTTTTCAAGCTTCACATTTCCCTTTACAATTAGCACATAACAGACATGTCTCGGGAAACATGCATTGTCGAACTGGGTTTCTTAATTGGAACTCGGGAGCTCCTCAAGCGCCAAAATTCTCTATCCGCTCTGACCTCAACTAAGGTGTGTTCCCAGCACCAATTAGGCATATCTGAGCCGAGCATGAACTAAGCGCTCCCTATTAGCGGCGAGATGTTGTGGTGGCGCCCTCCTATGGTTCCCCCTTGCGACGTCATTACCTTGCAAACAACAAGTTCGATGGTGTTTGTAAATAGCATGGTGGAAGCCTGAAATCATTGCGCTCTCAAAGCAACACTGCCAACACCGTCGAAATTAAAGTTCTTTCATTCCGCTTATTTCCGTCGATGGTATACCCTTTCCGACGTCATAGCTTTTGGGCCAATCATGGAAGGCCGACCACAGCGATGCTTTCGGTCGCGCACGTCGCCAATAGTAACTTCGTTCAATTTACCTGCACCGGTGCAGAAAAGTGTAGGGCAGTGTACTTCCGGTACGTGCATCGAGATACGACCCTACACTTTCTTGCACTGGTGCAGGTAAATCGAATGAAACTATTGTACATTGTTGTTAACAAAACATGTTGACTTGCTTCAACACAATGCCTGAAAGAGAGAGGGGCTACAATGTGACGTGTTGGGCTAGTTGGTTCGAGGCGAACATCTTGGTAAGAAACAGCAACAAAGAAACTTGGACAAGAGTAAAGGAACAAACACGACAGGACGGCGCTGAACTAACAACTGTTGTTTATTACACAAAAGGGAAAGGAAGAAAACAAGAAGCATCTTAATCAAATAAAAATATATAGACACACACAAACGTGCCAACCAAGCAGCATATTATGTCACGATAGGCCCAGTCAGTGGCAGCATAATGCCCGTCATAGTCAATCGCAGGTACCCGAACTCTTGTCAGATGGCGCCACTGACGGTTCGCTGACGCATCTCCCGCCAAGTTCTGAGAGGGGCTGCATGGTCGTTGCTCAAAGCAGTTCGGTGTTTCTCCAAATTAAAGAGTTTCAAAGCCCTGCACAGCACACACAGAGAAATGGTTCTTGGAGAAGAAGGATAATACAAGACAGACTTCAAATGCCCCACCATATTCTCCTTATCCTCTCCTAGCTCATAGCGAGAACAGCAAGAACATGATAATGTTCAAGAAGGACGACTCCGAGCCCTTCCCTGGAACTATTTCTGCAATGTTCAAACAAAGACAAACGTGCAAAATACTGCGAGCATGAACTTGATCATGTATAAAAACAAATACATGTATTGACAGCTTGTTCTCAAAATGTGAACCATACCGTTCCTGCATAAAGTATGCATCACAAAGAAAAAAGGTTAATGCCGTATTGCTCTCTGCCTAAAGGACCATTTGTTAATATTAATAATGTTTGGCATAATTTGTTTATTAATTCACTTCAAGTAATTTACTTCTTAATTGAGGATCATTGAAAGCCACTAAATCAAGTTATTTTAGAAAGATGGAAGGTGCAAACAGCATTCTACTGCATTCTGAAAAAAATGCTCAATTTGGCAGTGTTTCTAGGTAACAGTTTGGCTTTTGTACAAACACCCAGTGTTCGTGCAAAATAGAGCAGTTTCTTTGGCCCCGAGAAACTAGACAAAAGCTAGAACAGGTGCCACTGTCCTCAATGCCGAGCGAATGAGGGCCGGAAACGCTTCGTCTTAGATGTTTCATTGAATCATTACGGTTCTTGAATGAAGCTCTACAACAAGGGATCTTTAATCAAACAGCACTAGAATGGTATCATCTGCAGATGTTATCAGACTCCAGAAAAGGTGGTTCAGCTGAAGGTGTTTTGGGGGAAGGGGAGTTCTGGAGGGAGGGAGAGATCACGAGCCTTAGGAGACAAGAGAAGATTACATGTTTTCAGAGCTTATTTCCAGCTATATCGGAAAAAAAAAAATTTTTTTTTTTGTGAGAAATATTTTTTAGCATTTTTATCATTGACAATGAGATTAAAACATTTTGCAAGCTTATTTTCCACATTCTCATATCAGTCATAGTCTTTCAGTACTTTGGAGGCAAAAAGTCTGCTTGCCGGCGAAAATATTTTATTGCCTCTGGCATGCTAGCACATCGATTCGAAATCCGTCTATTGTGTTATTCCATGCTCCATGCACATAATGTATGGTTCTAACTCCTCAGGTTGCACGCATGCCTTCCGCAAACCTGTGGAGCACTTCTCCTAACAAATAACCATTACTTTAAAAAAAAAAAAAAAAGTCAAAGCCATTTACAATTTCTTGTAACGCCGAATTAGAGTGCAACTCTTGAGGAGGAAGAGGGAAGGGTACTGAGGGGAGGGTATACGCCTCTTTCTCCTCCTTCTCCTCCCCTCACTCTTCAATCTCCTCGGGGGGGGGGGGGGTCACATTGACCGCTCAAGCCGAAAACAAGCCCCTAAGAGAAAAAAAAAAAAAGAAAAAAAAAGGCCAGTGCAGCGATGTGATTGGTCCCAGCCATTTTGGAGCACCTCTTGGAGCAGCTAGAAATCAATTTTGGAGCATAAGCACACACTTCATTTTCATTCATACAACCGCCAATATTATGTCCATAATCACGTGTTGGCCCGTTCAACTAAAAGACAATGTCTGCTTAACCTTCCCGCCCCCGTGCAACTTTTTGTCAGCTACAGTTGCATGGCAGGTTCGATTCCCTCAAACACAGAACTAGCCGTTTAGTTGTGTGGGGAAGCACCGAGCACGGCAACAAGATGCTGAGTAATGAAGAACAGAGTATGAACAGCTCTGAATGTCTATTTTAGGTATGGAATCAAAGGTAAGCAAAAAAATAGTCTCGGGCAAAGTGAGAACAGCAGGGCGGGTCATTCAAACTCCCAGCCTCCAGCATGTGCTACATCCTCCCACCGTGCTTTGGCCGAGCAGCACGAGGCGCCCAAGCGTTGCCGAAAGTAAGAAGCTTGCGCTGGAGGTAGGACAATTGAAGTTCTTCCCCACCATTTTCACTTCGTGACTATAGTATATTCCACTGAAATAATGTTAGAATATAATAATTACGAGCACCCCAAATTGTTGTTTCGTTGAAGTTCCGAACAATTGTAGTAAAACACCCAATTCTGAATTAAGATTAAATGCCATTTTTGGAGTTTGTGCCAGTGCCAGTTTTGGTGTTTGTGCAAATAGCAAGTGCTTTGCTTGCTTTCCCGAGGCCACAGATATCCATGCATGCTAGGATGCTATGCTATAAGCAGCTGCCCATTACTCTAACATCATATACACCGGAAGGTGGCAATGTACTGTCGCGGACAGTATGAGCAAAAGCAGTACTTCGTGCTTCTTTGGCGTACGTTCCGGTTTTCGAGAGCACTGCAATCCGAACTGGGAATGGAATGCGAAGTTGAGGTCTCATACATCAGACTATTTGCCAAATTGAGAGGTAATAGAGCTTTTGGAGGCCGTTTTTGGAAGCTGCAGATGGAGAAAGAGGCCAAATCGGGTGTCCCAGCTCATATTATCCGGGGGAGAACATGCATTTGTTTGTGAACTGTCCTACTGTATTCCTAGGAACCCAAAACACTTTTATTGGATTTCCAAGCTCCCAAATATCCTCAACTGTCCAGGCTTCTGAGTAAAGTGCTTTTCTAATCTAAGCACTATTTCGACCACCCACTGCTACATATTTATGAGCCAACCGCTCCCCAGTGTGTGGGTTGTCGAGAAAGTCTAGGCTTCTGCGCTGGTATATTGCATGAATGCCAAGACCCGGACAGCTTCCCCAACTGTTATTCAAGGCAGACACAGGTTCCTAGAGATGTTTTCGAACCTCTGCACAGGGTGATGGCCAAATGGTCATGAAAAGCCTCACTTTCAGTTGCAGCTCGTATCGGGTAGAAATAAGATAAGAAGTTGAACGATTCTTGGGGCTGGGAAACATCACAGCCTTGAAGATAGAGTTCTTCAGGGAGGTCGGAATTGGAGAAGTATTTCACAGTGAAGATATTTGTTTTCTTGACTTCATCTAGGAATGCAGTATTCAAGCTAAAGCTAGAAAATCATTTACTTTTAGGTACGTGCCTAACTGTGTTGATTTTCCCAAATGGCAGATTTGTCCATGGGACATTGCTGCTTGCAGTTTTTCAATTAAGCGCTGTTCAATCAAAAGTTGTACTTGTAATGTCTATGAAAATAATGTCAGTGGGGCAATGTTCCCTCTTTGGCAATTCCAGCAATGTTGCTGCAAGATGTGATAATCCTAATTTCCAGGCAGAGCAAGGTAAGGTCTTCTGTAAGGAGTCTTCTGCTCTAGGCTCACCTACACAAATAACACGTAAGCGAGGGCGAACCCCACAGCCACGTTGACTGTGCCTTGCACCTCTTATGACTTACGGAGAGGTACAAAGATTGTGCATCGCTTTGATTCTAAACAAACTGGAAGCATTTGGACATACCCAAAAGGTTGAGCTCCATTCATCTGCCTGTGCAGCAATCCGAATGGTGTTTGTGACGATCCAGGGTCTTTTCACATGAGTATCACAAACACAGTAGAAATTGACAGGGTCAAACAGTCGGCACAGCAGACATGCTATGCATTGTTGCCGAAAACACGGACCTTTAGCAAATTGTATGTTTAATGAAGGAACATGTGGAATTACAATGACATTTTTTCAGCTGTGTGAAACATTCCCGTGGCAACCGAAAGGTGCTTACAGATCCGGTTGTCTTGTGGCGGCAGTGGCCTGAATTCCCGCCACCGGCAACCAGAGCCGTTTATACCGCTGTACAAGGAGTATCGTATGGGGTCTGCTGAAGTGGTCTACTGGACACCTTTCTGTAAGGACCTCCTGAACAAAAGAATGTGTGGCTCTGGAAAAAAAAAAAAGTTCTCCATCACTTTCTTTCCTGAACATCCCTTAAAACCGTGCAGTTGACCCGACTTTATGGTACCGTGCCAACATGGACCTCGCACATTTCTGACAGCCGAACATGTGCCACACTGGTGATTAAGACAAACTTGCACAAACTCTAAAAGCAACTGCAACAATCCAGGTTAGCATAGGCTGCCTTAATCTTTTAAATGGTCCTTGTTCCTTTATTTAGCCAAAAAAAACCTATAATGGCTCGCAAGACATGGAAAGGATTTCTCGAAGCCCCAGAGTGGCAGCTGACTCTTCACTGAGAAAAGCAGGTATTTCGAGCTGCGTTGCTCAAAGCTAAAGGAGAACCCACATGAAGCATATCTGAGGAGTATTTATGCACGCGGGAGCGCTGACCTTGGACGTGTCATCCAAGGTCAGCGCTCCCGCATGCACCTCTCACTATCTGTGCGAGGTTGTGGAGAATCTACAACCTTGCCTCCACGTGCCCGGTGCCGAAGCACACATTCCCCGCTGGTGTGGACATGTGTTGACACCTCCATTATCTCCAGTACTGAAGCTGACATTCCCTGCCAGTCCAGGACCTCTTGAACCCTGCCACATAAACATCGCCGAGGATGGCATGCCCCGGCTTGCCTACCAGTGAACATCCGTTGAGGTTCACGTTACAGTACCAAGCCAGGATTTCTCGCGGGACAGGCACCGTAGTGCTCGCCCGTGGCCTTGGGCATGACGTCCTCGCTTGGAGCATGAGGGGTGGGAGGCAAAGGGGTCGAGCTGGTTATACAAGGAGATAGCAGGCGGGGGAAGGGGAGGGGGTGGAAGCGGTTTCGATTTAAGTCTTCACCTGACAGTCTTGATCTGGGAGTCTTCACTTGCCAGTCTTGATTTGAGTCTTCAGTTAGGAGTCTGAGGGACATTCTTCATGGGGTCTTTATCGGGAGGCTTCATCAAAGGTCTTGAGTAGAGACTGTCGACTTGAGGCTAATCTTTAGCAGAGGGTCTTGATTCATGGAGTATGCGGTGGAGCTCAAGAATCTCCTGTCGAGTGCATTGCACGACGCTAAAAGAAACCTCGATGGCGCAAGGATCGAGCAAGCGGCCCAATATGATAAGAGCCATCGTCACCTGGAGTACAACGTGAGGGAACTTCATCCTAAGAAGAACTCACCTGCTGAGTAACGCAACTAGTTAGTTAGCAACATCGCTGGCCGCAAAGTGGGAGGAGCCTTACGAGGTAAAGTCGCGGTGTCGCGCATTACATATAGACTTGATCAGTCGAGCACCGACGAGGAGTCCGGCCCTGTTCACACCACCAACTTGAAGGGTTACTACCTTCGCAATCGAGGCGGCAGTGAACCAGGGTCTGTGGAGAGAGACATGGGACATTCCTGTTCAGGTGACCCTTATATGCAATATGGAGTGCGGACTCTACACAACAGCCAAACAAGGCATGACACCGTTGGCGAGCAAACTTCAGAGGAAAACTCTGACCGTCGTTACAACCTTCAATATAGAGCGTAGTCATTCTCCATGTTTCTAAATGTTATTTTTATGCAGGAAGCCTGCTTCAAAGTATTGTCTAGAAGGAGCAAGTGGTGCCAGTCGTAGACGGCCCCATTCGGCGGGCCCGCTTTGCCCAAATGTGGGTGCAACCATTCCTCCAGACACCCAGGGTGCTCACCCAAAACCCTGGCGTCCCGGGTCACGAGGTGGTCGGCCCTGGAGCCGACCGCACCTTGGAGCCAAATCCCGGAGCCGGCCCCCACCGACGCCTGCCCCCCGTCCGGCTGTAGCGGCTCTGCCATCTCTTTTGACTGGCACCAGCAAAGATGTTCAAAGGTTTGACTGCTCCCCAGAGGCTGAGCCTTGAGGGGAGGGAAAAGTGGAGAACCTTTGACTTTGCCTTTATGTCCCCGGTGCCAAAGCCCACATTCCCCACCAGTGTGAATACTTGTTGACTCTTCCATTGTCTCCAGTGCCGAAGCCGACATTCCCCGCCAGTCTGGGACCTTTTGAACACTGCCACATAAACAGTGCCAACGATGGCATACGCCGCTTGCCTACCAGTGAACCACAGTCGAGGCTCAGGTTCAGGTAGAGGTTACAGTACCGAGCTGGGATTTCTCGCCAGACAGGTGCCGTAGCGCTTGCCCGTGGCCTTATATGGGCAAGAGTTTCTCGAATGAGGCGTGAGGGAGTAGGAGACAAAGGGATTTGGCTGGTTATATAAGGAGATAGCAGGCAAGGGGTCAGGACAGTTTCGATTTGAGTCTTCACTTTTCGGAGTCTTCGCTTGCCAGTCTTGATTTGAGTCTTCAGTTAGGAGTCCTTTAAGGGACAGTCTTAATGGGGTCTTTATCGGGAGGCTTCATCGGAGGTCTTGGGTGGAGAGAGTTTCGACTCATGGATAGTCTTTAGTAGATGGTCTTGTAGGGAGCCGTTCAGCTGCAGCCACCACCGGAGGAAGACAGGACTTGGGGCGACGGTATGCGAGTTAAATTGTTTGATTGCACTTACTCTGTTGTGCAACTTCCTTGGGAACGACTGGAGCGTGGCTGGATCGAACCAGGTGCAGTAAAACATAGAACGATCCCACAAGGTATGCCCCGGCGCTGGGCTCCTCGAAGCGTCTGCTTATACTCCCACTAGATGGTGAAGAAAGCGGCTGCCAGCCCACAGCAAGGCGGGAAACCACCGTAAGGGGAACTCGAGTGGCTTCACCTTACGATGGGCCGCAGCAGATGGTATGATCCATCCCAACCAATTCACTACCATGAATGTATCATGTGACTACGCACACCCCACATTGCTGTGCTTTTCCCAGAGGTCACATGACACTTGCACATCGTCGGACTGGCTTCTATGGCTCAAAGCGTCCTGTGCAGTTCATCGTAAGGTGAAACAGCATGGACGCTAAAAGTGCTCATTAGATTGCAGAACTATGCCCGCGATCGAGCCACCACGGTGTCAACTGCCACTCTGAAGACTTCCAGCAGGTTCTTTATTCTTTTTTCAATCTTTGTGCAGCAGTACTGGCTACATTTCTGAAAATGGAAATATTCTTCAGCAACGAATTGGTGTGGATCCATGTCAGCCTGTAGTAATTAGAGTAAGTATTCTGCCTATTATTTCCTCCAACAATTAATCCTATCAAGTAATTATTTACACAACAGCTTGCCCCGCCCGTTTTGGCATAAGACCAGGAAAACGGGTGGGGGATTGGCGGCCGAGTATGTTAGTGCAGCTCAGCTCGGAGCACGTGGAGCAAAAGCTTGCATTGAAGAACCCAGGGATTCTGGGTTCAATCACCACCCCTGCCCGTTTCGACCTGGAGCAGCATTGCACCGGCATGCGGTCATGTATCACTACTGCGTGAAGCACGTTAAACACCCCAAGCTAGCCATCGTACTGCACTGGCTAAATTTCTCATCTACGGCGTTAACCAGTTTTGCCGCATTTCAAAGGCAGACCAACCTTGCGCTGCATACACCCGAACGAAATTTGGTTTCCTCTTACCAGGGAAACGGTTGGTAAGGGAACCGAAACATGTACACTGCACTACACTGTTAGCACGAAAAAGCATTTGCCAGGTTTGTTTGTTTATTTCTTAGTACCAAAGGACTATTATCAAAGCCGCTAGTTGATAAGAAGTGCATATCTGAGGCACTAATCTGCCAAAGTGGTAAAATTTTATGCCCATCAATTCCCTTCAGAACTAAATGATGAAAAAGTGGCAATGCTATGATCTGGCTTACAGTGCCAAGCAGTCTACAAGGCGGAGGGTGCCACAAGACAGAATGCAGATGAAAAATCTGTGCTAGTAAGGTGCTATCAAATATTTTGCCTTCCAAGTAAGGAGCCCTTTTTCCACAACTGTTTGACACTATCAATTGGCAAGCCAGGCAGCATTTTTGATGGCCTTCAAAAAAAACTTTAACCAGCTTTATGCCTGTGTGGTTGGTCTAAACGAAGGTGGAACAAACCACAACGTGTTGCAATTAAAACGCTGAACTAAAACCTGGCTCTAGTACACTCTGACTGGCCACCGATAATTTCACATAGACAATGGTGTATGGAAAGCTTTGCTGCAACAATGCACATGCACAGACAACCACAAAAAGGTTTTTTTTTGCTCGGTCAAGGCAAAAGGTAGAAATATTTTAATCGGAATCTTTCTTGTCATCAATTTAGCTGTACAAAAAGGAATATGGAACTCGGGTTTTATATTGCTTCTATTTCTTGACACCTTTTTGTACGGAAGTGGAGGGTGATCTTTGTTCTTTGACAAACATCCGAGTATAATTTCAGGCCAGCCTTTTTTTGCTAGGTATTCCACATACAAGTTTTCCTAACAGGGTGTCTAGCAAATTATTATTTTGAAATTCCCCAACTTTTCCAGGTTTGCCTCGACAATTTCAGGTGAGATTCCCTGACCACTGTAGAGGCGGTTAAAGATACAAGACCATTACAACACTAGGCATTGAGCATTAAGCACCGTGAGGATCATTTTGCACGGGCTTAATCCAACTTGCATATTCCGAAATATTTGGGTTCATCCAGTCCGGATTAAATGAGCACTTTCTTGCCGCCGACATCTTCAGTGAAGAGGCCAATTCCGGAAACACGATGAAAACACGACGCTCAACCACACACGTCAACAACCGAATGGCAGCCATATGCACACTTTCGGATACTTTCGGCTTAAGGATAGGATTGGATTAAGGTCTACGGCTTTTCCATTTGTTACTAAATCTAGTAGCTCTAACTGGATCTAGCCTAGTGTCGCACACTCAATCCAAGGCTTGGACTGGATTTGTCGGCTGTTCCCTTTGCATCGGGTAGCACACTGTACATTGGTTGAGCAGAGCCTGCGCTCCCCTCTAAGCAGAACTTATTGCCTATTTTTCAGCCCCTAAGTCCTCAAGTGTTTGCTCAGGGCACTCGATGGCGTTTCCGGCTCATTTTCCCTGACTGGGCTCGCTTTTTGACAATCTCCCTGATTTTCCCCGGTAATTAAAATTTCCCTGACAATTCCCAATCACTAGACACCCTGCTAAATGTGCAGCGAAAACAATGCACAAAGAATGAATTCTAGATATGCATTCAGATACCGCATTTTCTGGTGTATAAGACACAATTTTTTTCCCAAATTTTCGGCGGTGCGGTTTATATGCTAATTTTTACTCAGAAACTTGCGAAAAGTGGGGGATGCATATTTACAACGATGCGTTTCATACATAAGACACTTGATTTCCACAATTTTCGGCTGTGTGTCTTATATACCGATTTTTACTTAGAAACTTGCGAAAAGTGGGGGGTGCGTCTTATACACCGGAAAATATGGTACATAGCCACTTAAAGGGAAACTCTGCTTCATTCTCGGTTGTTAGCAAACACTGCGACTCTCTTTAGTATCATCTAGAGAGACCGAATGTCAAATATTATAACGTAATACCACCTAAAAGATCACTAAACCAGCCGACAAAAACTGAGATGCGCGAAGTCACCAAAATCCGCTAATTTAGCGGGCGACGTGTGGCGCAGCCAACGTTGCATTTCCGTTGTGGTTGACGTCTGTTGCATATGCAGTTTTTTTCTTGGCATTTTCTTTTCCAGGGCGAGCTTACCAGGCGGTGCTACGGACGCGCTCCACGTCTGGGCAAGCAAAGAAGCGAGACAGACAAAGAAAAAAAAAATGAACGAGAACAAGAGAAACAAAAAGAGGGAGAGAGAGTTGTACGGGATGAGTGTCGCTGACATACATGCCAACCGGTGCCAACAGACTAACCACAAATACTATTTGCTAACCGCCTGGGTTTTTGCCTACATAGCCAGCTTCGTCGCTGCTTGCTTTGCCTGTTCGCCGCCGCGGCTAGGCCTGCCCTCCCTCCTCGCCCTTCCCCTCGCATCCGTGTCCTTTCTGGGTTACTGCTGGTAGATCACGTGACCCATTGTGTTCCACGTGAGTGCGTATGCAACTGACGTTGAGGGTACAATGTTGCCCGGCTGTGCCGAAGTTTCAGTTTCGGTTTGCGATTATGGTAAATAACAAATCGCACGAAAAATATTTTGCCTTTAATGAGACAAACGGTCTAGGGTTGTTTTGAAGTACTTTTCACGTTTATATCACCCACTATCTCAAAATTTCCGAAATCGAGGGGAGTCGCCCTTTAATAGACACAGGCACTCAAAAGTTGACTAACACTGTCTGGAGAACATAACATATCTTACATCTGCTTATCATCGGCTTTGACGGCAGTTCACAACAATATGCAAGGCATGCTACAAGGTCTGACCTTGACACCCCACATGATTTTTTGAACCAACTCAACAAGTTCCATCAGGGCAACCTCAGGCACTTAGAGCTGACCAGCCAACACTGCTCCTTGTTACCTCCTCCAAACTACAAGAAACATAAAATCAAACTGGCCCACAGCTCAAGCTTCTACAAGGTGAAATCTGCTTCCTTCAAGCTACAACGATTGCTGCTCGGAGCTTTCAGATTCTGCACATGATGACACATAAGGCCCTAAAAAAGGAACCTCGCAACCAGAGAAATCATTGGTACTAAATTCCAAGTCTTTTGGATTGTAGCGAGGAGGCTCAGCTCTGCGAGAATTTCTAATGGCTCCACGTTGGCTTGGATGTCATTTACAAGTAGCGTCAGCCTGTTTGCATGGCTGCAGCCTACCTGGACTGTGGACCATGTAGTGCTCCCAGCCCAAAGACTGCTGCACGCCAAGGTTGCGCCATTCCGTCTCGGTCATGAGGTGTGTCTTGGGAACCGACTGGGCCAGTTCTGGTGGAAGGATTACGTGCCTAGAAACAATGTAGAGAACTGCTTGTTCTTGTTCCAAAGCTACATTTAATGCGCAGCTTCTACTCCCGATCCTGTCCAGTGTCAAATATCCACAAGGTGCAAGAATGCAAAAGTCACTCGCACCCGATTGCTTCAATCTGGAAGAACCGACGTTGTACCAGTGTTTCCTGGTGCAACATGAAATAAACATTCACAGATTTGGTGTGCTTCAGCGCATGTTTGTTATGGGAAAGCCAGGAGTACACCACTAAAGCTGGCAGTAGAAAGCTAAGTGTTTGCAAGTCAAAAGAAAGCTGCTTCGAGGCACGGTACAAATGAAGTGAACATGCTCCATGTGCATGGGCGGAAAGCTTTTATGTTTGGGACGATTAGCCAGCGGTATTTCATCTTATCCCCCAAGGAGCATGTTTTGTTACACGAGTACAGTGCCTCACATTTACAGATTACCCAAAACATTTTTTTTAAACTTTGTCATCTGTGCAGTCACCGACGTCAACAATGGACAGTTGCTGAAGGCTCAGCAGCACCAAGAGAAATCTGGTGCTTGCTTTTTCCCGGTGTTAGGCTACCCGAAGTGCACAGTCGAGTTTACTGTCACCTGGGGAACAAACTACCAAAGACAATTAACATGAGACGTTGGTCAGATATGCCTTTTCAAGTGAACTAGTAGGACTCAATGGACTGTAACTATTTTCCAAATTGACCACAATTAGCTTAACGGCTATTGCCCCTTGCCTTTTAGATTAGTCCAACCAGCGTTTTGGAATAAATTTTGAATAGATTGAGGGGATCAAAGACACAACACTTACTCTAGACCCATGGGCGTACCAACCGGGGGGGCAAGGCCGCTTGCCCCCCAGTTCTCAAAGTAGGGGGGGGGGGGGGGGGGGGGGGAGGCATGTTTTGCCCCCCATGAAACAGCCACTGGGCAGGGAAAACCCTGGCCGGCGGCGCCCAAAGGATACCAAAAACACCCCCCCCCCCCCCCCCCCCCCCCGGGCCTGGGGAGGGGGTCTGGTTTGCCCCCTCACTTAAAAACTTAAAAACAAGTTGGTACGTTACTGCCTAGACCACAGCCAGCCATGCTGATCGGTGTAGTATTCCAAGTAGTGTTCGAGGTGTAATGTGCGAGGCCACGTAGGCATTGGTTATCATGAGCCCACCTGTACTCGTAGTTGTCGTCATAGTATTTTTCGGAGTATTGAATTAAGGTGTCGGGCATCCCAGGATTACCTGCAAGGAACAAAAATGCCCTAGTTTGTACGAACCAGAAGAAAAACAATTTTGTTTAGGGATAAAAACTTAATAAACACGTGAAGTGGTAAAAAAGAAAACATTTAAAGGTACCGGGAAATCAGCAATTATTGTTCGCGCGTATATCCCTCCTGCTGATGAAAGCGAATGCGCTCACCTGATCGTCAACGGAATTGGAATATTTGAGATTACACTTCTTATTTGCCGCCAAGACGCCGGCACATCGGGCACAAACGCCGCAGTCGAGAAATGAAACAGAAAAGTGAAGCGTACAAACCAACCAAGAGTAATCCGCTACAAACGAGAAGATAGACCGATGAATACTAGACGAAAGTACGTATTACTACCCGTTACTACCCTTTGAGTAACCAACCAAACGAAAGCAATGAAAGAAAGCTATCCAGCTGACCGTGCGGCAACGTCGGCACCGTTATCTATCAGCCAGTGAGTTCACTTTAGCCCCTTTAGCCAGTGCAGCTGACCTAGCCGACCTAGCCAACCTAGCCAAGCCGGCCAAGCACAGATCTTTTCCCGAATCGAAGCGCCCCTGGTGCCCCTGGTGGCACAGTGGCACAAAAGGAATTCTGGGTACCACTTAGTTTTGGTTTCAGTTTCAGATTTTCGCATGATTATCGTGTCGTGACGGTACACGCTGATTGCGTTTTCATTGCTGCGACTTCCCACAAGTGCACAATACTGTAGGCGTTGCCGAGAGATACTGAACAAAATACTTGGCACTGTTTTTGTGGTTCACGATGTGCCAGATTTTGGGCAAAGGTAGACAAATGTAGAACAATGGATTTCTAGGTCCCTGCTGGTACCCCTGTCGTGCAAGCATGCGTGCGCGCGAAGAAAAGTTTTGCAGGCTTGGAAGTTCAAGTGCTTGGCTGCAGGAGAACAGACAGCGGCTGTCTAATTGAAACCGAAACCATGCCACTCCGCTTCGAGGCCAACTGGTTTCTAGCGTACCACGCGCACAGTGTTGCATGGAGGGATCTTTGAAAGGGCCACTGGATGGCCATCTTGCATGCAGCGGAATCGCAATTTCGCTAGCGTTGCAGAGCCAACGGCAGCATACTGCAGACAAGTTTTCTCTTTGATCGTCATCATTCGCCGAAGAAGTTTTATAAAACCCTGTGTAAGCGGTGATACTTGCCGTTGTGAACACAAGAACATGTTTACAAAAGCGCAGTGCCATAGGAAAAAGACACAACTCGTCAAAAACAAGTTTTGCGGGTCTCGCGGCGTGACTTCTTTGGCACGACGAAGTGCTGCGCCTCCGTGCCGTCGCACGCCTGGATACCATACCTCGGGAAACCCCACGATCCCCTCACACTCTCATCATCAGAGGTAAGGTGAGGGTGAGTGAGTTTCCAAACCACGAATCTTCATGAGTGTGAGGGTGACTGAGGATCGTGAGGGGTGTGACTCATACACGTACCTATACTTTAAAGGGATACTACAACGAAATTTCGGCGCTCATATTTTGGTCTATATGTGTTCAAAAGAGCAGTATCAGATGGAACATACCAATATCTTGTTAAAAGAGTCTCGAAAAAGAATTTTAAAACGAATTAAACGATTAGCAAAGAGCACCTGGTGGATGTCGCTAACGCCTCGTTTGTAATACCCGTCTAGGAACCTTGACAGCTAGTGACGGTGAGTGTCTCGCCCCCGGCCACGACGAGAGAAGAGGGGAAGTAGGAACTCCCCTCTTCCCGAGAATCCCTTTTGTGTGTCGCAGAAGTCGCTATTGTCCCCCTAGAAGATTATAGAAGATTAACCCGTCACTCAAAATTCGTACAACGTCAGCCTCGCCGTAGCTTTGCTCGTCTTGAGACGACCTACGTCACGATTGCCTTGGATGTCACGTGCTCTAAGCTGGGCCTTCTCCGAGCGCTTGCCAGAGTTGGCCGTTTATTCGCGACTCCAGCGACCTATAGGGGGCGCCACCACCAAACAAACATGGCGGCTGAGTCCAGGTCGCGTCGGCTCGGCCGGGCCGCCTGAACAGGTGGCACGTTCAATTTAACAGATTTTCTTTTGTTTAATGCCCAATTTTATAGGTATTTGAACTGAGACGGTTAAGTGTAGCCGGTGCACGTAAACTTGCAGAGCATAGTTTTGTTTTCCAACTGTGTTTTTTGTTCTTTTCATGTCAAACTTTCGTTTCGGAGATTTCGTTCGAAACCGAAACTATGGGCTCTGGAGAGACGGTAATATACTAATCAGTTTTGATCATCTAAAGAAAGCGGCAATGACTGCAGAATTCTCCTACCGATAGTAATTTTCAGCCAACTTGCATGCCTCGACCATGCGACTTATCTGTCCGCGAAATCGGGCTTTTGTGCGTATCCGCGTTTAAGAAACAGCTTCAGTCTTGTGCTCGGTCAACAACACAGGCTGCAGGAAAATTAAGAAAATTAAGCAAGCGCTTCTTGAGCCAAGGACCATGTTAACCCGCTGGCGCCCCACTTAGCAGCTGATACTCGTATTTCAATTCAGGTTTTAGTAGCAATCGAGAAGTCATTTTGACGAGCGGGTTATGTATTATATTACGTACTATGTCCCACTAAAGCGATATTGGTATATCCTTCGGTTTGAAATATGAGCTTAATTAATTAGCTAGTAGGTGAACTGCTGAATAAAAGTATATTTGACAGACAGAGAGATACTAAGTTAAACTTAGCGAAATGGTTCTGGCCGGTAGCACGGAGACGAATACGGACAAACTTATTCATTGGAGGTTCACGCAGAACCTCTCAGCATTGAACTTGACTTCGAATCCTGAACGGAAAAAATGAGTGTTTTTGTGGCCGGTCAACCCGAGAAATGTAGACGTACATTGCTGCTGGCTTAATTCGACGGGGGTATAATATAAATATTGGAGGCGCGATAGATCATAATGCCGTGACAGCTTCTAACGTTGCGAGACGCGTCCCCCACCTTTTAAAAAACAGATAATTTCCCTCATTCATCATTTGCAGGGAGCAGGCTTTCCTGAATCAAATAATTGCGAAATCAGCCCAACTCCTTCAGAGTGGTCCAGAGGATTTTATAGCCAACGCACTGACCGGCGTGGGTGGCTCAAACTTGAAGCTAATCGAACACAACCAAGCTCAAGAAAAGCAGCTATCGAACCTTCCCATTCACTTGAAGGAGGTGGCATTGGTGTTCCCTCCAGTGAAATTCCTCGTCTGTCGTCCTCCCACTTTTCTACATCCTTATAAAGAAACCCCTTATCAGTTACCAAGCAGTCGTCACTTTGAATCTGATTCGAGACAGACAAGAAATCAAAACGTTTTTCCGCGATTCGTCCCCATCCAAGAAATCGAAAACACGTGGTGGAAGGAAAAAATCTACTGAGGCTTCACCGCACTAATGAACACTCAGGCAAACTTAAGAAATTTTCGGACCTTCGTGAAATTACACTTTTCGCCATCGCTCCGACAACACGTGTCCGCGAAAGCCACCTGAGACGCGGAGGGGCGCGGAGCGACCTGGACCGGCTGGTTCCCGGTTTTCCCGCTTGGTGGCGTCCGTTTTGCTGGAGTCGCGAATAACGAAAAATACAGCCACCAGGATCAAAATACAAACGTGCGATTGTCATTTACGGATATTGTGGATCATATTCAACCTATTTTTGAACACGACGGGAATATTTCAAAATTCGTTGAAGTATCGGAATTTACATTTGGATATGGGCGATAGCAATAGATTTAGTTTTTCTGCTTGCTAAATTGAAAAAAAAAGAAGCCGGTGAGTAAGTAATTTATAGCAATTAACTTCAAACTTCCTGGAAACGCAAAAAGGCAGATTCTCTACTTTCTTGCTGTTTTTCGCTGTCACATTTAGTTAATTCGAATTTCGCGTGCGAGTGAACAACTAAAAAAGATCCGAGTACTTTTGCTGGTCGGCTCTTTATTGTTATACTTCTTTTTACTCGTTGGAGGAAGGATGCATGTGCAGAATAAGAGATCCATGACAAGGCGTGCAGCAGTACAGTTGACTGCAATTCTCCAACTAAGAGATCTTTACTGATGCCTAAACACGTACTCGCCGCACACTAAGGAACCATATGTTTCTGGAAAGTGTATACACATGCACCTTTCTACCTAGACTTCCGTTATTTGAATCAGGGGCGGATCCAAAGGGGGGGGGGGGGGGGGGCGACGGGGCGACCGCTTCCCCCCCCCAAACAAAGTCGACCTCCCTTCCTCCCCCCTTCTCGGAGGGCAATTAGACATGGGTGGATCCGCAGTGGCGGATCCAAGGAGAAGGGGGTGGCGACGAGGGGGGCCGCCACCCCAAACAAGGCCATCCCCCTTCTCGGAGGGCAATTCGCCATTGGTGGACCCCCCGGTGCACAAGAAAGAATGAGAGAATAGTATCCTTGCAAATTTTCCGCCCCCCCCCCCCCCCCAAAAAAAAAAAAAATGGAGTTCTGGATCCGCCCCCGCCCCCCGGTGCACAAACGGAATTCTGGATCCGCCCCTGGGTGTGAGGGGCGTGAGTGCGTGAGAGGTCTGAGTGCGTGAGGGGCTTGAGGGCGGTGAGAACGTGAGGCGTGCGTGAGGGGTGTGAGGACCGTGAGTGCGCGGCGGGTATGGGTGTATGGGTGCGTGAGGGTGGTGAGGGGTGTGAGGCTAGTGCGTGCGTGAAGGGCATGAGTGCGAGGGGGCGTGAGGGCGGCAAGTGCGCGAGGGTTATGAGTGCGTGAGGGGTGTGAGGACCGTGAGTGCGTGAGGGGTGTAAGGGCCATGACGGCGGTGAGGGTCATCAGTTCGTTGGATCTGAGATCAAATGAAGCTTTAGTTAAAATGGAAACTTGGGCGTCCTGGTGATTCATATTCTAAGGTTAACAGCGCAAGATCCATCACACACACCGATACACAAAAGGACAAACACACGCGCTGACTTGCAACTCGTTTTGTATTCTGTCACTTGTTTGTTCTCGTCATTGGGTTGACTCTCCCAATTTCCGTGGCCAGCACGATAGCACTAATACAGGGAACACTTCTAAATATGCTTCTTGCTCCTTACCGCAATTATCAGGATAAAAATTCAAGCTCTTTTTGAGACAGTGTTAAGAACGGACTACAAAAGGCCCGCTCACACTCTTGCAACCGAGTACGACCGAGAGAGACGAGACCTGTTGAAACCTCTTAAAATTTCTTAGGATGAGAGGACACACTGGCGCTCTGGCGCCATCTATGCGGTGACTCTGGAACTGCATACCACAAGAGCGAATGTTTTGCGGGATTTTCGAGGTTTAATGTGGCCGAATATAAGAAAGGCTCGTTTATAACGTTGACCAAAGTTTTTCGAGCCAAGAAAGAAAGGTTAAAGACCCGTTCACACTCTTGCGACCGAGTAAGACCGAGAGAGACCAGACCGTTT